GGGACAAAGTGGTTAAATTGCATTAAAACTTTCACGAGCACTTCAAATTTTACAACTACACAGCCAGTTTCGAATCACAATAATCTGTAGGATACAAACAAACGAAGCAACAGTTATATTCAGCATCACTCATGAAATAGTCATACCCATATATGTTAAACTGAAGGAGAAGAGCAAAATAATTTGATACATAAATAATTCAAAATATTAAAAATATGCATATCTGAAGCTTGTCTAAAAGCTCTGCATATTTAGGACAGTCTTTTAATCCTTTCCCCACAGCAAATCAGCTGGGCTCTGCCTTATTGTCTGTATTGCTCCTCCTGAAGAAAAGCTGGGCTTGTCCATGCTAAAACAAGCCCTCCTGCAGTGCTGCAGTCAAGCTACTATTTATACACGCACATTTTGCTGATAACTGTCTTCTAAAAAAAGCTAAACAAGAAACAAAGAAAACATCTGTTTTCGGAATTTGGCCAGATTCTGAGGGTAACAAAGTGCAGGTACCATCTAATCATGAAGCAGCTGTTTGGTGAGGAGTCCTTGCACTCGCACATAAACAGCGTGTCACCGTATCCGAAGAGGGTACCATGAATACCGCTCACCAGCGTCTCACTAGATCTGATGCCATGGCAGCCATGCATTGTATCAAAGTAGCCATGATAAGCTTTTTTCTTACATCTAGTTTTCTCCAATATATTATTGCGATAGAAATTATATGGACGCCCTCGGCTGGATTTTGCCGCCGGCAGTTGCTGTCACTCACCGTATATGTATACGGATCTATATATATGAAAACTCAAGAAAAAAATAAATAAAATAAAAACTCTGGTGTGCCGATTCGAACGTTCCACCTTTGAATTATGAGTGGGAGGCGTAATCCACTGAGCCACGATGGAGCACCTCCTCCAACAATTAAATGGCAAGCTATTTATATCTACCACTTACCGCAGGTGATGGGCATCTCGGGGGAAACTATCGTGTTTTCAGCATTACCAGCAAGATGGCGCAATGAGCGCGCGTCGCCACATTCCTTCTCCCACGTATACTTTGCCCCATGGAGAGAGAGAGCAGGGTGGACGCTAACGCCCGCACTTATCTCGCGGTAGGAACGATCGCAAGTCCTTGCTGGCCTTGGTCTTTCACTGGAATGATTCTGTTATAGTCAACGGGCGCACAAAGGTCACTGCAATTGTAGCACAGGCTCAGTTTATGAAAAGGGCGTGCTTTTCAGACTGAGATGCTTATTCGTGTTCATCTGTACCTGTGAGTACGTTTCGCGTGTGAAAAACGCGGGGCACGTTTCGAGCTGCTTGCCATTTTGCGCGTGACCTTCCAATTTGTTGCTATCACGTTCATTGCTTTGCTTTGCCTTTGTGGCAAAGCTATGACTTTTTTAGTGGTATTTACTGCCTTAAACGGTCGCATTGTGTCGAAACTTATTAAGGAGGAACATGGCACTTTAATTCTTTATTTCTTGATCCAATTTTGACGAAACTCAAATAGAGACCATATGAGTCCCTCACTATGGCATGCCTCATAAGCGCTACTATATTGCAGTTTTGGCAACTAAAACTTCAAAATTAAATTAGTTCAAATATTCATACGACAATGCAGCAGTGTTGCTGTCAAACAGTGTAATTAATATGAAGAACAGTGCAAGCTACAGAAAAGAAGTTTGCAGTGTATACCTCAAAGCACAAAGTACTTATGTTGTGAGCATCTTATTAACTCTTCAAACCGATGAATTTGCCTTAATAGGAAACACTGCTCCTAAAAAAAAAAGTATTTATTAATTGATTTTTGCCAAACTTGGTGAGTTCGTGTATATTTGTGTGCTGTTTTCAAGTATGCAATTACTTTTTCATTATACTGATAACTACTTTATTTCTAAAATATTTCTTTTGTCTTTTGGGGAACAAGGTTTTTTGTGAAGTGAAATATTTGCAAAGTAAATCAGCATATCAGAATTATCTGGAATTTGAACTGTGTGCAGTGCAATAAAACTGAATGTTCTAAATCCAGTTGAACAAAGGTTATGGTATGTTGAACATTTTTGAGTAAGTCACTTTCAAATTGGGACTTCAATTGCAAATGTTCAACATACTAGAACGTTTTTCCTAATGAGTTCAGAACAACCATTTTTGTTGCACTACACACAGTTTAGATTCCAGATCATTGTGATGAGTTGATTTACTTTGTAACCCTCCCAGTTTTCTTTAAATACTTCTTAATATACAGAAAAAATATTTGCATATTTGAAATCAGCACACAAATGTACATAAACACACCAAGTTTCATAAAAAATAAGTTGATAAGTAAACTTTTTTTAAGACCAGTGTACCACATCGAGGCAACTTCATCAGTATGAAGAGTTAATAAGATGCTTGCAACATGAGTACTTTGTGCTGTGAGGTATACACTGCCAACTTCTTTTACATGGCTTGCACTGCTCTTCATATGAATTGCACTGTTTGATAGCAACCCTACTGCGTTGTAGCATGAATATTTAAACAAATTTAATTTTGAAGTTTTAGTTGCGAAAACTGCAATATAGTAGTATTTTCTAGACATGCCATAGTGGGGGACTCAAATGTGGTATCCCTGACCAGGTACTGAAACTGCCCCCATGCTTAGCAGCCACTAAAATGCCATGGTGAGTTGGTATGAATATTTTCTAGTACCCATGTGTGCTTGAAACACTTAAAAGAATGACACTTGCAGCAGCGCAGGATAGTGCAGAGCTAGGTATTCTGAGCATATAGGTAAAAGAGCATTCGAGTATGCGCTGTACAGTTCTACACTTTGACATGTGTTTTCGAAAGGGACATCACAAATGTTAAATCAAAAGAACAATTAGACATTTGCACGCTCAGCTGCATTCCAAAAAACACATACATAACTTCTACTTTTGTGCGTTGATAGAACTCATTTAGGAAACCTTAGCTTTTGAACTTAATAATAATATTATCTGAGGTTTTACGTCCGAAAACCACGATATGATTATGATAGAGATGCCGTAGTGGGAACTACGTGGAGCAGGGACCATCTGGTGCTCTTTAACGTGCACTGACATTGCACAGCACACGGGCCTCAATCATTTCGCCTCCATCGAAACGTGACCGCCACAGCCGGGATCGAACCCGCGACTTTTGGGTCAGCAGCCGAGCACCCTAGCCACTGCTCCATCGAAGCGGACTTGGCTCGTGCACTTGTACATCAAGTTAGATAGAATGGGTATAACATAACGGTACGCAAGGGCATGTACAGTAATTAAAATGATGCCCCTCAGTGATTATAAAGCATTATGAGTATATATTGCAAGTCTCTGAGCCAAATTCAAACAAAATTACAGAAGAAAATGAATGCCTTCAAAGAGCATGGTAATGACAAGCAGAAAAAATCATGGCAGCTGCTTTAACGAAATCGGTGCTAGCAAATGTGGTAAACCAAGGAAATGCAATAAGGATTACACATAGAGAGTAGAACTATGTTGCACTGACAGCCCACATTCTACAATTATAAATGAACCTCCTGCCTAGACATAACTGAAAACACTGCAAAATCTAAACATGTCATCATCTGGTTTCCCTTTCTAAATCATCAAGCAGTGAATACCAAGAAAGTCAAATGCAAATTTTTAGTGTCTTATGAAATGGTCATCATAGATATGGCTAAGTCGTTGAGGAAAATGAAAAAATGAAAGAGCATCAAGTTCATCTATAGAAGTTGTCGGCAAACTTGACAATAAATAATGCCTGTCACCACACAATGGCACAAATACAGTGAACTTCCACAGCCTGCTTTCATGACATCAGCCAATGTAATGATTCACATGTCACCTGAAATCATGTGATATGAGCTAAATCACTGCTTGAATTTTTTGGACAAAGGGACCTTTATTATTTAGAAAATTATGATCTGGCATAATGTATTTCATGACAAATATGACAGAACAGTACAAACGTGCATTAAACCTTAGTATAAAGTGAGCTTGGCAGTAATGCAGTAGCTGTCAGGGACCAAGTGAGAGAAAGGAAGAAAATTTGGGATATGAAAATGTTTGTTACAATTGACATTAATATTAATATACAGACTCTGGTACACAGCGTTGAGCTTCATGATCAAAACCTAGTTTATTTAACTACTTTCTTACCATGAGGATATTGGCTGCTTTTTGTATGTTTAAGTGAGAAATTTTTCACACAGCAACTTTAGAGTTTACAGTGATATAGCATCTCCAAATAAAAGCAAATTTACTTCAAATAAACTGTAATTTAAGCCAAGCTCTTCTGTTTTTATAAAATCTGTAAGAAAAATTTTTCTTAAAAAAGAATATCTTTGGCAAAGCTTTTCTAATCAGACTTCCATATACACAGACAGTGTCAGGATTACTTGATATATTTTATTTAAAGAATTAACCACAGATTAGTTAATATTCAAGCCTTGGTTGGTAAAACGAAAAAATTCAGAAAAGAATGATTTACAGCATAGTTTTTTATATCTAAATGAGAAAACTGCTATATGCTCGTTTCAGAGATATGATTCAGGAAACAAACAGCAATTACAAAATGCATCATAAAAATGAAGAAGCCCATACACGTAACTGAAGTCCAAGTGAAAGTGTTGCTCAAGTGATCACTGCTCGAAAATTCCAAGAGATTACAGTAGGGGCCAAGTGGAACTGCTTCTTCTAGCTTTTTTTTTTTTCCTACTCCCCACACTGTCACTGTCGATGTCATCATGTAGCTCACATGTTCTTTAACCTTTGAGCTTGCATACTCTTTAAACATTCGTGCCAAGCAATGGAAATGCGAATTGTGCAGAAACAGCCACTATAGTTTGTGTGCAATAACAGCCATGGCACTAAATAACGAGTGCAGCAGTTTTTTTAAACAGCACTTTTAAAAACATCGTACAGCAGTGAAGTGCCATTGTAAGAGAAGAGTAAGAGTCAGTTGCAGTTTCACAATGAAAAATCACATGACCATGAAACAGCTTACCTCAGCCTTCAAGTCAGACACCTTATCCTGAAGTTCTTTCACTTCTTCAGATTCGGTGCTGCCTCTCAGTTGACCAGCAGTAAGCAGCTCTTGATTCTTGAGGGGATGCAAAGCGAACACAAGAGTTAATTGCTAACATAAGATGACTTCCCTGCAATGTGACCTAGTGTGGAAAAGTGATCAGAATGCACAAAGTGAAACCCTTTACGTCAAAATGCACAGATGAGAGTGCATACACCGTTGGCATTGCTTCAGTCAGAGGAAGCTCAAATAGCTACATTGCATGCAGTCCTTAGAGGTGGGCAAGTTCTATCGATACTAGGGCTCCAGTGCCTTAGGTATACTCATTTTTGCTGCTGATTCATATTGTAGCAACGTCGACAACTGGGCTACTTGGCAAGTTTCCTCTAATAAACCTTTCAGTTACGAGTAAGCACTCATTTTGTCTCGTTCTTAGACTATGTTGTTTGCGCTGCTTTAATCATAATGTTTTGCCTTACATGCCCAGCCAAAGAAAGCAACACCTAAGAAAGTGCTGTACATGTTCTTCAATACACTAAGGGTGTAGTAGAGTACACCCACCATAAGAGTCTTGTACTTTTTTTTGATGAAACAATACTGCAAGCTGGCTGGTCACTCTACCGGTACTGATATTAACTGTCGTTAACAACATACACACAGTTCAGTGACGTCCTGTTGCCTAAAAGGTCTCATACAGACACTTTCTGCAAAGTAAGACTATGCAAAGCATAGTGTAGTATAGTATGCATGTTATGGCTGATCACAATAAAAACTTTCTAATTTCCTTAATTTATATATCTTACTATGCACTTTTAGATATATAGCATGCTACACAGATGCGATGAAATTTACATGCTAAGTATGTCTTTGACCAACATAAAAATTTAGTTGGTTTCAGAATGTTTCAAAAGCCATGCGTCATTAATTTTTAAATTTTCCAGCTAGTCACAGCTGTACAGCTTAACAAAAATAAACCAAGCAAGTGACAAGAACAAGATATTGATAAAGCACTGCACTTAAACAAAAGACACAAAATTTAGTGCTTGAGTGTGTCTCATGTTTGCATAAATGGGTGCATTGTTTGAGTTGGCAGCTTCATTAATATCATGGCTCCTCACGTAGTCTATAAGTATTTATTAAGTAATGCCAAACAATCACCTTGATCTCAAGGGAGGAGATTTTCTGCTTCATTTCTGCAATAATTTGGGTGTGCTCCACTTCACGGATACGAGCATTCATCCTTTCTTCTTTCATCTACAACAAGCAGAAAAAAAATATATACAACCATGCCCACACACACACAAAATACGTAAGAGATGAAAGCTATCTTACACTGGTATAACACACAAGATCATTTAGCCTTGCACACTCTCTTGCACTTTTTTCTTACAAATCCTCCTTTGAATAGACTTCAATGGTCGAAAGAACTTGCCTGTGATTCCAGGTTTGTGATCTTGCGTGCCTCATCTTGGACGAGAGAATGCAACTCGCGCTCCTTCTCAGAGACCTTGTCAGACATTTGCTCATACTTTGCGATCTCGTCAGCTTGACGGCGGATTTGGTTCAGGCTAACTTGATTCTGCAGTCATGGCAACAAATACAACAAAAATGCTAAACGTGGTCATGATTGTTGGATGTTCCTACTTGCTTCAAGCTTTATTATTTGCTTTACTAACATCAGTCAAACAAAATATGTTTTGGGAGCCAATTTTTCAACATAAAGTAAATGGCAAGCTCCCTTATTGTGCCATTTTCTCTTGAGAAATCTCTTGTTTGTCTATTGTTGACCATTTCAAGTCTCCATCTTCCTGTGTGCATCTGTCTTGTCTGGATTTCTATTATGCTTAGCTGAATAGGAAGCACTATATTTGCCTGAATATATTGCAAGTTTCTTTTTATTTCACAATTTGTATTCGCTGATGTCCACTGTCATCTTGTAATAGCCCCTCCCCCCCCCCCCCCCTCCTTAGCAGACTTTCGTAAATAGTTTTCGTAGAACAAGTTTTCCCCGACTTCTAGGAATAGCTCTCTATAAAATAACTGGCATAAATTTCTGGCAATTATTACTGCTCAACATGCCAAATGTCGAATTAAAGCGACAGCTTTAATTTGACATTTGGCTTGCAAAGGTTCTTTTCATTACAGAACTTCGATGTTGCTGTAGCATTTTTGCGAGGGGCATGCACTTCTGTCAAGTTTGTGCACTTTTCCAATAATACACACATATTGGTTTGTGGAAAGGTCTGTAAAAAATCACTATGTTGCCAGAATGGGCAAATTCAAATTGATTCTAAAGGTTGAGTGGCTGGACTAACTACTAGAAAATGCTGGGTGCACGAGAAACAAATTTAACATGCCAAAATCGATTATCCAAAAGCGTCGATCACTGGTGATCGATTTGAATATGTGTAATGGTAATGAAAGAGTTTATGCAACATAATATCAATCTATGGCACAACCTAAAATACAGTGGAATTTTGGTATAATGATTATGACTTGCACGAATTTATGGGTGATACGAATTTTTCAGTGGTCCCAGCCTAGGCCCATTAACCTTCAATGTAATAAAATGCAGTTGTTCCAAACCATTTTCACCCAACAACCATTGATACAAACTTACGCTATCATGTAGGTTTGAAAAGGTGCTGTCTATGCTGCTGCAGAATACAAGTCAGTCAATCATGGCTGCGGAATACTGAAGCGCAAGCTTTCGCACTACGCTGCCAGTTCATCAGGATCGGCCATCAGCAGCACGCGATGGTATGCCAATCCTCTGAGACGGTGTGCGAATCTGAGTTTCTAATGCACGCACCTTTACATGCCCTAATGTTTTGCTTACAAATGACGTTGCTTTTTCACATGCGAAGAATTAAAAACAAAAAAAAGTCTCCCGACACGTCAATGTGTGCTGTTGTGTGCGAGGCATCGATGTTGTACTGTGTTTACACTTGCCTGTAATGTCCTCACAATCGGGCAGGGTCGCTACTGGTGGCTACTTTTCGCCAAATTGGCGAAATTGAGAGGCCTGTGGCAACTTAAAATCACGATTGACGACATGGCGATATTTTGTCGATTTTCGGCTTAGGTTTGGACTGAGTTATGTATTCTATTCCGAGTGTTTTCAAAACGAATGGGCGACATTTTCTATATTTTTTGTAGTATTAGCCTCACCCTTTACAGGTCCACTTTACACGTAATGCAGTAGGTCTGTCCTGTTCCTCGTGTGTATTTCCTAGATTCACCAAGATCATTGAGGCACTGGTGCACTGGTGCATCTACCAGCAACCTCCAAGCAGAATTTAGGTCAGCAAACTTCTCGCGTGTCGCGAGGTGGTCGTGTACTAAGTTCTTTAGCGGCTTCAAGAGCTTTAGGCTTCTTTAAAGCTTGGCTTGTGAAGTGGCGAGGTGACGGTTAAGCCACGTGTTCTGACCACAGCTCCAATTCATCTAAATAGATTGTAGACTTCTTCCCGGCTGTAGTACCCTCTAATTTTTTATGTAGAGTTTAAACTTTTTATTAACATTCTTTTAGGGCCGGCCAAGAAGTCATCTTCTTTGGACAGCCTTCAGAAACTGTGCTGAGGCGAATGTTTAGCGTAAGCATGACTGCACAGAAAACGTGCTGCGTGAATTGTGATGGTTACACCCCACTTTTGAATTTATTACCTTCGTTTTGTCATTAAGTTGTTCTGTTATCAAACACATCATTCCGCTCAATGAAATTCTCGAAATTTGTAAAAAGGCTACACACGCCTTCCTTTTCTTGTTGTAGCGGCTGCTTCATTCCGTATTCGCCACAACTAAAACCGTCGCAAACTTTTCTTATGAGGCACTAGCATTCAGGGACGCTGATGGTGCATGCATGCCCTTTCCCAGTGCAACCGCGGTGAAGCGGGTGATGCAACTGGCATTAAATAATGTCAATATAAATAAGGGGTGACGGACAGTATTGTTGTCCACAGGACTATACATAATTAGTAATCTCTATTACTAGGCAAGCCACACATACATGGAGTGGCCACTTTTTGGTGAAAGTTGAAGAAAAATAGCGACTTTTGGCAACTTTTTGCTCGTCGTTTGGCGAGTATCACTCAAAAGTCAGAGGCAACCCTGCAATTAGGCACTCTAAGAAAAGCGGATGAGAACTGAAAAAGGAAGAGGACTGTCTTAGTGAGAGAGCTAGGCCTCGCAATGTCAACATGCACGACTGTGTGGAATGTGCACACTTGCCAATTCTCCGATTTGCGCGGGACACACAAATTTTCAGCAAACTTCCCGAGTGTGCGGGCATGGCAGTAAAGCTCCCAAAAAACATCCCTCGCACTACCGTGGTAAGAACAACAAAAGCAGTGGTTATAAAATTTTCTGGCCTTCATCTGTCATGTGCGAAGTGCTCTCTAGGTTTTTTTGCTACAGTACTCCGATGTCATGTGAAAAAGCATACTCAAGTTAGAAAGAGCTTGGTAATTGTCTCGGGTCACAACACATATAGTTCCGCGCATGCGCTGTATATTTACAAGTACACGTGTCACTGTTGACGTTTAAAAACTTACTGTTATTCAGAGCTGTTGATGATGTTACTGCGTCCCTGCGATACAATAAATTAAAATGTACACCAGCTTTCTTTCGTTGCATACTGATTTCCCATGTTTTCTGGTGATAAGAATTTTTTTATTACCCCCATGAGATTCGTATCACTATGGTTTTACTGTGCTCAGTTCTGAGAAGTTATCTTATCACTATGTTTACACATTAAACTCACTTGAGTCTCAAGCTCCATGACTCTTTGGCGCAGTTCCCGCAGCTCAGCAGTAGCATCAGCTTCCTTGAGTCGAGCAGTCATCAGTTCTTCCTGAAGCTGGTTCACTTGAGACTTATTTCCACTCCATCGTGAAGGTGTTGACTGGTTGTCTGACTGATGGGGGTTTTCCGAACGATGCTTCTACATAATGAAATTACAAGTCTATATACATTCCCACACACTTAGCCATATGCTACAATAAGCAATATAGCCAGGACGGTCATGCACTTTCAGCAATTAAATGTGGTTAATTAAACAAAGCAATCAGTTTCACCTTTTGAATACTTCAAATGCATAATTTTGCACCAATAAGCACTAGTACAATCGAACTGCCAAAAAGAAGCACAAAGCACTGAACAAATTCTAATTTATACAGCAACGAGAATATTCAGAATATTCCCTACATGCACAGTAAATAGATGGGGTCAGAAATGCAGCCTTTGCAAGCATTCTCTTGGTAATACCCACCCCTTTAACTTAATGAGCACATTGTAACTACAGAATAACATACACAGATGTTCCGAATTGCTATAATTGCTAACGCCATACATACCTCCCATGCAGCTTGCAAGTCGGCGACTTTTTGCCTCAGCTCTTTCATGGATAGATTAGCTTCAGCTTCACGCAATTTTACCGCTATCAATTCTTCCTGTAGAGTTGCCACACTATCATTTGGTGTCGCTTCCCTTAGCCGTTTGTTTTCCTAGAAAAGATGACATAAAAATAGATAACTATTTTTAAATATTAATTGCTCAACGGAAGTCTGTTCAGTGAAAAAAAAAAAAAGGCAGTAGAAGATACCTACTGTTATACCTTGATATAACCAACTTATATACAGTGAAATTCTCAATTCATTGAAGTATTTCAGTTAATCAAAGCTGACATCTATGAAACACCAAGTATTTTTTGCCTCAATGTAACGAGCCCTGTTTACAGTAAAATCTCATTATTTCAACCCCCATTAATTCGGAATTTCAGTTAATTCGGCCACGGCGTCTGGTCCCATCCAAAATGTACAATGTTCTATGACTGAAAACTCTAATTAATTCGAACAAATTCAGCCGCGCTTCGGTTAGTTTGAACGCCCGATTGCGGTTGAGCCACGATGGGGAAGCAGCAGCGGATTCTGCCGGCCAAATCGATGGCCTAAACAACTTTGGGATCGGACTGCGGCCTCTGAGATTCAAAACTTCGTCCATGGGTAGTACATAAACTTCATCCATCTACATCTCGGAGGCACCAAAAGTACATCTCGGAGGCACAAAAAAAAAAAAAATCACATGGTGGTTTAAACAAACAAAATGGAAAGTAGTGCATCGCTACTGTCATCAGCAACGGGCAACCTACAGATTTGCCTTTCCTTTTTTCTTAGAATTGCTCACCTCAAGTATGCTTTAAATTATTTATCTGTGCGTGATTAGTGCCATCTGCAGTCTTACTGTTTGCTCTTTTTTGAAAAGTTCACCGGTTTTTATTTCATTTTTATTACAGTGCATTTTTTTGCGTGTGTCTGTGTACTTGTGTTGCCTACTTCGTGCGCGCATGCATGACCACCACGCGAGCGACGCCAGGATGGCTTCCCCTCCGTCTCCTGCAGACCCAACTACCCGAACTACCACAGTGATGGATTTGATTTGTGGCGTTTAACGTCCCAAAACCACTATTTGATTATGAGAGACGCCGTAGAGGAGGGCTCCAGAAATTTTGACCACCTGGGGTTCTTTAACGTGCACCTACCACAGCGAAGAGGGCGAAGTACGAAGCAAAGGATTTGGCTGCAAAGGTGAAAATATTCAAGGGGTTGCAAGCGGGAACATCTCAAAAACAAGTGATGGAAAAGTTCAATGTGAAGAAAAGCACGCTGAGCACTTACATGAAAAACGAAGAGCAGATTATGCAAGCGTTTGACGGGGACATGTTTGGCGACCTAAGGAAGAGGCTTCGAACGGCAGTGCATCCCAAGCTAGAAGAAGCGCTGTTGCACTGGATTGCCGTTTCGCACGATGCGCGTTTATCCTTGAGCGGCCCTCTTATCTGGGCACAAGCAGAGAAGTTTGTGGTGACTATGAACATTGACTCCTTCAATGCGTAGGAAGGCTGGTTCGACCGCTTCAAGAAGTGACACGAGCTGGTGTTCCGCAACGCGTGGTGAAAGAGATGCAGTTGACGAAAGTGTTTTGCAGGACTGGCAGCCTGGACTATCCGTGCACCTTTTTACGTACGAGCCGTGCAACATTTTCAATGCTGATAAGACATCGCTGTTTTATAAGGCTCTGTCTGATAAGACAACTGCGTTTAAGGGGGACGCGTGCGTGGGTGGAAAACGAATTAAAGAGCGTGCGACAGTTCTTCTGGCTGCTAACATGACCGGCACAGAGCTGCTACCGCTGCAAATAATCAGGAAGGCTGCGAAGCCAAGATGTTTTAAGAATATTAAGCAGCTGCCTGTCGACTATCGATTCAACAGAAAGTCTTGGATGACTGCCGAACTCTTTCAAGCCTGGCTGCATCAGCTCGACCGCCGCATTGAAGCCAAGGCTCGGGAGGTGGTGTTAGTGCTAGACAACTGTAGTGCGCACACGAAGGTGCCTGGGCTCGAGAACATTGAACTGCTATTCCTGCCTTTGAACACAATGGCTTCCCTACAGCCGATGGACCAGGGAATCATACAGTTCGTGAAAAGTTGCTATCGACGCAGGTACTCGAACGGATGTTGCTCTGCAAGGAGTCAAGCAAGCAGTACGAAGTAAGCCTGCTAAGCGCAATCCACATGCTGACATATGTGTGGAACAATACACCGCCTGCAGTAATCGCAAACTGCTTTAGGCATACTGGCTTCGTGCATGACGCTGCTGATCTGGGGGTGGTGGCCGATGAGGTAACCGGCGAAGAGCAAGGCGGCCGCTATGTGAGCATCATGACAGCTAATGTGCCCCTGGGCGATTACTTCGCAATTGACAGTGATGTTGCCGTGGCCGGCACAGTGACTGACAGCGATATCGTCACCAAAGTCTTGGACGGCTAAGGGGAATTGGCTGACGAGGACGTAAGTGATGCTGACGAGCGTCCACGCCACACTATGACGGAGGCTGCGCATGCGTTCGCTGTTTTGGAGGACATATGCATGCTTTCCTCAAACAGTGTGCACGGACTAAGCCACCTGCAGAAACTTCGCAAAATTGTGACTTTGTCGCACATTGCATCCGTGAAGCAAACTGCGAACACAGACTTTTTTAAGAAATAAAAGTCTGATGGTGTAGGAGACATTTTTCAAGTGTTTTGTTCGTACTTGCGATAACTCGTACTCTCAGTTAATTCCGACATTCTCTCCGGTTCCATGAAGTCTGAATGAACGGAGATTTACTGTATATGAATTTAATTGAGATGAAGTTGTATCACTACTACAAAGGAATAGAAGGCCATAAACTGTATGTCCTACTGTGCTCGTTGGTGGTATGATTTACCCGTGCGTGGTTTTTGTGAACACATTTTCCAAACCCTGCACCATGCAATGAAGAGCGGTTGGCAAAGCAGAGCAGCATGTTTCGCGGCAGAAACTGCAAAAAAAATCGTGTCTCAATGCTATGCTAATCTTTGAAGCAGTGCAGAGGGCGAACATATGCATGATGATGCTGCAATACTGGTGCATCGTATTACGCACTATTCAACCGCTGCAATGCAATGTAGCTTAGAATTATGTGCCATGCTTGTCGTGCATCAACACTAATTTTGGTGTTTATTACTATTATATGCTAAGTAACATACTTCCACTGCTACAAGAACAGAAGCAGCGTACATTGTAATCCAACAGTCTATCAATCGAATGGCAAGTCACAACTAATCAGTCTTTTGCAATATAATGCAAATTAATGCCCGCAGCATGTAAAAGCATATTAAACAGTTGCATGTGTGTATCACTAAGACGAAGAACATCACCTTTCAGATAAAAATAAAAGAGGCAGGACAACATTACCTCTTCAAGCTCGTGTATCCTTTGGCGAAGGCCACGCATAGTCTCCTGGCCCTCAGCTTCACGCAGCTTCACAGCCACCAATTCATCTTGCAGTGACTTGAGCAGGTCCTCCGTCTGGCTGTCCAGTGATGACGGCTGTGTCTGTGCCTGCAATAAAAAAAAAAAAACAATGTCAGTGTTCTCTAAACATGCCATGTCTGGTCATGTGGCCTTCCATACTGCCACACCAGAATGACATATGTACAGACAGATTATAAGAACCACTGTGCACACGAGCTGCGTTTCCACATTCAAGTGTGAGAAAATTTGCATGGCTCATGTTTGGAATCATTGAGGCATTCCTCATGCATTAACTTAATAAGCAAGCAGTGATTTGGACCAGTTTATTATTCACACTAGTCTAAAACAGTGCATAAATATGTATACAAAAGATGTATATTGGTGCTTGTATGTCCCTTTCAATGTGTTTGTCCTTTGTTTATGCGTAGTTTTCGATGATCATTAATAGCTTAATGCACGTTCAGGTTTTGGTTCAACATGAATTTATTATGGGCGAAGCACCTTAGGGTCTAGGCTTGTCTGTTGTCCATTGTCTGGCCGTAACATGATGTTTATCATGAAGAAAAACCATGTTAGCACATGCGCAGTTCATACAAGGTACCCACTTTATGCCAGGATGATGACACTGATGATGATGAAGAAGCGCGTTAGCACATGAAAGGTACTTGATAATGATGACGACCATGGAACATTCTTCTTCTGTCACGGATGAAAATGAACGTTAGACACGAGAAGCGGCGGCAAGATGACAAAAAGCCAAGCGGGAAGGGCGTGGGAACTTTTAAAATGTGTGAGCAAGGGGTCGGCGACGAGCACCCGCAACAGCTGTTGTTACACTTTGATCTACTGACAACAGAAAAGCTCGCTCAGCTTCATTCAAGACAAATGATGAACGAGGCGAACAAAATAGAAATGATGTGGACTCCACATAAATCCCCACTGAACCTTGTGGCCAGCGTAACGTTAGATCGCAAGACGGGTGCTGTGTGCGGATGACAGCAATTTACATTGGTTCAAGCGAGTGCAGTAACCGTGCACAAATCGCAAAGAGGGACATACTCGTTCATTGTCTATGAGTACATCAAAAATCACCCGCAAAAGTTGGTGTATGTAGCTCTCAGTAGTTTCATTATAGTAAACAACCTCTACCTTACCGATTCCAAAAAAAAATCATAGTTTCTACCTGAAGATAGTAACGTCAACAAGGACATGGTGCATCTGTTTAAATGTCTCGAGCAACACAGATTGCCAACACTGACACAATGGTACTTCAGAGCCTTTCAAGAAGACATAGATCAAACGACAGAGTTTACCCTGTTCTTGCTAACTGCTCGTTCCCTCAATGCCCATACAGATGACGCAAAAAAAAATCTCATACTAACGAAAGTCGACGTCCTTTGCTTTACCGAAAAGTGGAACGCAAGAATGCCACAAATCGATACATTCTTTTATGGTGTCTACACAAAAGCAGAGCGTACAGCGGGTGGCATTGGTATGTACGTGAAATAGCCAGAGACCGTGCTGATTCTTGACCTACCAAAAAAAGAGGCGATCCGACAACAGTGAACAGACAATAAGCCTATCCAATAGAACCGTCATAATGACAATGTCCTTGGCCCCGAATCTCTCCCAAGGCAACGCATCGATCTAGCCATGCGCTATTATGAAAGAAAGTACAAGAACAACCTCTTCGAACTTCTCGGAGACTTCAACGCTGACATCACGGAGAGCGCCAGGCTTCTACAATAAATGACGTCTTGATATGCTCTACTGTGCATTTTGTATGACTGGAAACAACCTACAACTACCAAGGGAATGTGCATAGACCTCGTCTTTGCCAATTTCAGGCTAGATCTGACAGTAGAAGAACCACTGGCTCTACATTTCATTGACCACAAATCAGTAGGCTTGTGCGAGTATTCAAATGCTTCGAATATTCGAACAAATAGGCGAGTATTCGAATTCGCTTCGATTCAAATTTAATTTATCGAATATTTTCGAAGTATTCGCAATGAACAAATAAATGTACATTAGTCCGTCTGTAAAGGTGGTTTCAAAGCAATGTAGCGGTGCAAAGCCAAGAAAGCACCTACTCAGAAAAAAAAAGTTTGCTTTGCCGCAAAGCCTCCCTTCAGATTTAAAGGGGCCCTGCAACACTTGCTGAGCATGGTCAGAAAACGCTGCCGATCGGTAGTCAAGGCTACCGAGAACACGCGAGGCAAGTATTATAGCGCAGCACGCAACCTGAAATTCACAACGAATTTTCTAAGCTAAAAATTGCTCTCTTCCCTCGGCAAATGACACTACAAGCTCAAAAATCACTTGTCACAGCCAAGAAAGAAAATACGGCTCTGGTCACAGTCATTGGCTGATTTGAGCATGGCGCGCTCGTCGTTATCGGACCGCTGCGTGAGGCCACTGCTTGTCCACAAATACGTGCAGGATCGCACTGAAAGGCCTCGTATTCGAGGAAATAGGAGAGAGAAAAAATGCTCAAGGTCACTAGGCGCTCATGATGTTTTTTTCTTTTCTCGTGCCATCCTTCCCTACTTAGCTTCCAGCTTTTTTGAGGGGTCGAGAATGAAGAATGCGATTGCAGCATGTGACAAATTTTTGTAACTTGGCTTGTACTGGACTGATTCTAGAAACTTTGTGGCGGTAAATTTGTGAGGCGACAAGCACGTTTACTGGCTCCATGGATACCTGAAAAAGTGTTGCAGGGCCCCTTTAAAGGAACATGTTACCCTCAAATCAATTATTCATTTTAATAAGCTTGTTATGATGGTTTATACGATTTAAGTATAATAAATGTTAAAACGTTATGTATCTTGCAGGTTATCACTTGGATCCTACCAAAACTACTAATCAAGGTTGTTTCGACTTCCTTTCAACGAAAAAAAAAAAAAAGGCATTTGCATAGAGCCCTTATTTCCATTCAAAAGAAGTATCATGCAGGTTAGTTAGGTTATGATAAATATTCCCTTTTTGTCATATGTCATACATACTATTCGTATTCGATACGAAATTATTCGACCAAAATCACTATTCGCTTCGAATTCGCTTCGACCCTGAAATTCACTATTCGCACAAGCCTACAAAGCAGTAATAATGAAGGCAGACCGAAATCAACAACTCAATAAAACATACCATTTATGACTAATAAACATTGTGTACAACTGCACATCGCTTTGTCACTCATTTACATGTGTGAGCGGGCAATGTCACGGGTGATTTATGGTAATAATGAACAATCCCATAGCTTCGCCCACTCGTCATCATTCACTCCATGGGTATGCCACGATTTTTTGTTGGCAACTCCAGTTTAAACAAACAGCATCCAAACTTCCTTTAAGTGTGACACCCCAATTCATCTTCATTAAAGGCTGGTTCACACAGGCAATTGCCACTGGTCGCACGACCAAGTTAGTTGCTTTGCGACTGGCCACAAACGGTCACATTGGTCGCAAAGGGACTGGTTTGGGTAGTCACTAAATGCCCAATTTTTCAGTCGCATGACTGCAGTAGCAAAACGGTTGAAACCAATCAGCAAAGAACCAAAGTGACATCAGCATTTCTTTACATTCGTTTTTTTTTTTACATTTTTTTTTCACTGGCCCACTGCCACCAAACACAAATTAGTGGATTCCTCTGTGCAACCATGGCCATCACACAGTTGCAGATGGCTGGTTGCAGCTGAGTTGACACCAGCGGCCGCATTTTTGGTGAGGGTGCTAGCACTCCGGTCATTAAAGCAGATGAAACTTCGTGTTACAATATGATCGGCTATATGCGTGTCCGTGTGCTTTTTCATGTGTTCCTTGAGTACGGTTGTTTGATAAGTGCGTGTGTTGCAGATGGTTTTTTACAGTGGTGTAATGCCGCCAAGCTGCTCTGTGTCACTGTGCAACTTAAACATGAAAAGAGGTGCTACTGTGAAGTACCATGTATTGCCCTGTGATCTACAGTTTGGGAAGTGTAGTATTAGTTACACAAATGAGCGCAAAAACAGGCACGCGCCGCTGCATCCAGATGACAACATCAAGCCACAGTGCTGACTGTTCCCTCTCAACCTGCACCCATGAGAAAAAAAGAAAAGAAATATCAAAAGGTGCCCAGGGTGTGCCATTACCCTCCACCCTCTGCCATCAGTCTACACATGCGCCAGCCTAACATTCGCGCAGATCAAGGAGAATTCAGGACATCGCAATGGGCCCTCCTTTTGTTTCTATCGACGAACCAGCGACACGAATCTCTTTCCCCTAGCTGTTGCCGTGGTACATGCTATGCGCCGAACTATCACTTGAAATGTTCCAAACAAGAGGTGACGTAGGGTAGAACGGGGTGGTGAACTCGGCGAAGAAGTTATGTGTACTGAGCGGTTTGAGTGAGTCGTGTAGTGCGGTCATTGATCGTGAAGAATCTTGAGATGATGCCGTGGGTGCACTAATGTCGCCACGACAACAATCAGCGCTACAGTTAGTTAGAGTGTTTCCTGGAAGAGAAATACTATATTTACTCTATTTACTCGTGTAATGAACGCACTTTATTTCTAGAAAAATTGCAGCAAAGTTGGGCGTGCATTTACCATGTGGGACAAATTTTATGAAAGATTTTCGGCATGAGCAAGAAATGTGGCAATTCAAAAAACAAAGTTAGGTCACTTAGCCTTTCGCAATTAACATATGTGTAGACTGTTTGAAAACAGCTCCTTTGTTTCACTTTACTCATCTTCAGTGGTTGATGGCAGCTATCTTCTGCAGGTTGTCCCCGCGCCGCCCACGTACGTCATAATAGCGTTTTACGGCTATGTTTTCACGCATTCGAGTAACTGCAACAGTGGTATCTGCTGTGATTTCGAACGTGCCCAGAAGGGTGCCCTACGATGCTACGATGCCCTTTGCCAACTTCACACCAACTTTGCACGACGACCGCGACGACCCCGTTGACATTGTAGCAAGTAACCAATATTCCAGCATACTACCCCTTGGAGCATCAAAACAAACCGTCGATAACAAGATTAGCGACAAAATATGGTCGTTGCCTTGCTTTCACATGAGAAGTTCCTGTACGTACGGAAAATAAGGAAAGCGAGAATCGTGGGTGCTACCATGTTGCGGAAATCGTCATGATCTTTTCTGGGCGACAAGCGATTTTTTTCTGGTTTTCCAGAAACCTGTGACACAATAGCAACGAATGACCCTTCGCGACAGTAAATTATGTCGTCATTGCTGGAAAATCGCGTGCACGTCATTGGGCCTTAAAGTTTCGTATTTGCAGAAAGCGACTGTCGGTTGGTGCGAGAAGTTTTGTGACCTTTGATCGGTGTATGCTTATCACTATCAGCTGTGACGTTTCTAGACTCGCACCGTTCGTGAACCCCGCTGTGGCGCACAGATAAAAAAGACGAGAGACATGCTGTGCACAGATAGAAAAGAACAAACAATACGGCATGCGACAACGAGTGAAGGGTGGGGAGGGACGAACTGAGGTGGCCGAGGAGAATCGGCATAATAATAAGAAAATGAAAGTGATCTAACGAGTAAGGAGGCACCAGGTGTCGGTTAGCGAGACTACAGAGGATAAATGTAGAGGGTGCGTTTATTATGCGGGAAAAAAACTTAAAATTTTGATGACTGAAGCTGGGGGGTGCATTTATTATGCGACAACAAGAGCTCAACTTGGGTGAGTTGGTTCGAGAGTGATTAACGCAAGTAAAGACGGTATTCAAGACACGTTCAAAGAATTGTGGACTACACAAGTGGTAAATACTCAAGGCCGCTAAGTGTTCTTGTACGGTTTGTAATGCATGAAACTGCATTTGTAGTGTGGTAGGTTTGTTTCCGTTGTTTTAAATACCCTCCAAGTGATTTTGTGTGTTGTGATTGACACCTGCCGAGTGTGCAAGTTTCTATGATGCTTGTACTGCCGTAAATGAAAATAAATTTTGTTTGTGTTCTGAACTCTTGGTTTTAACTCAATCTTTGTACCACAACCGGCATTGTTGGCACACTAAAAAGACCTACATTTAAATTGTGCGTGATTTCTTGGTGCATTTTGGTGAGTCAATACGTCAGTCCTTGGAATCTTCCTGGTGAGTGCCTCCCCATTAGCGGCATCAGTGACACTCTTCATTTAAGGTGATTGATATGTGGGGTTTAATGTCCCAAAACCACCATATGATTATGAGAGACGCCGTAGTGGAGGGCTCCGGAAATTTTGACCACCTGGGGTTCTTTAACGTGCACCCAAATCTGAGCACACAGGCCTACAACATTTCCGCCTCCATCGGAAATGCAGCCGTTGCAGCCGGGATTCGATCCCGCGACCTAGGAGTCGGGAGCCGAGTACCTTAGCCACTAGACCACTGCGGTCGGGCTCATTTAAGGTGAGTCAAATGGGCAACATTCATGGAGAGTTTTGAGACCCACTCTATGAATGACTGGCACTCCATAGGCAAACTGTTCACATTAGTGGTGAAATATGTACATCTAATAACGACTTCAGCATAGAACCTGTGATGTGCAACTACAGAGTGCATTATTTATGACTAGATCAGAGTCACTGTTACACGTATCAATGTATGTGGAAGCACTTTTCCGGGGAGGAGCTTTGGCGCCGGAGCGTGGCGATAGGCGAACTAGACCCGACACGCCACTTTAGCGGCATGCAATAGGCTGCACCTTCTTTTTTGTTCACGGGCCGTGTTAGCACGATGACAATCTCTTCTTCACTCGAATCGAAGTCCATGAGGCTGCTGGGAATGATGCAAGAAAGCTGCTGCCAAAAATAATAAATGCGGCGGGCACGTATCAATGTATGTGGAAGCACTTTTCCGGGGAGGAGCATTGGCGCCGGAGCGCGGCAATAGGCAAACTAGACCCGACTTCACTCGAATTGAAGTCCATGACGCTGCTGGGAATGATGCAAGAAAGCTGCTGCCGAAAATAATAAATGCGGCGGGCTCACCTGGCTCCTCTCTCTCAGCTGGTGGCAATCAGCTGATCACCACCAATCTTCAAAGTTCTCACTAGTAACGACATCCGGATTTGAATCTCCGGGTTTGCGACTGCCAGTTGCTCGCATGCAACCTCTGCCAATGTGAACATCAGTCGCTTTTTGGTCGCCAGTCACAAAAGGTCGCGCGACCGGTCCTAGTAGTTGCTCGTGTGAACCAACCTCAACTGTCCTGTATTCTTGATAACTTCTTAGGTGCTACGATATGCTGGTACTGTTAAGCGATTTCTTATTGCGTTAGCACTCTAAAGGACCAGAGAAAAAGATAGGCCAAGCTTCTCGGAACATACATCGACTGCTAATACCGAACATCACAGAGTGCATTCTTCCTTGATTTTTAAAGTGCGAATGTTCGCCAATAATATGCACCGAACAGATTTGTGCATGAATATTTCCATTACTTTCATAAAGTAGGGAAAGTCTGCCGTCTTCTATCTGGGCGAAACAATTAAACCTTTGAAGGAGTCTCATTTCATACAACATTTAAAGCCCTATCTTGCAAGAAATACTTAAGCAGGGCAACAATAACAGCATTTCAAACAAATGTTTTGTGGTACCATAAAAAACAAGCTATCATAGCTGGATGTTTTCCTTCTTTGTTGATTTCAAAATTACCAAGCTGGCTGCTAACAAAATATAAAAAAAGCAAAACCGAACCAGTGCATGCTGAAACCTGAGAAAATGTCTTAAAATCCTTCGTACCTACACCATCTCTCCTCAACCCTCATCCAAGAAATAGATATGAAGGTACGACGACAGAGAAAGCTAGATTTTTATATTGACTGGAACAACATGCACAAGAGTTTTTTTTTTTATGAATGAGAACAATAGAAAAACAAACAAAAACAATAGTAAATATGTACTTGGTGAAGCTCCTTGATTTGGTTGTTGGCTTTCTGCAGCTCCTGCTGCACCGTGAGCTCTTGCTGACGAAGGGCAGCAAGTTCTCGCTTGATGATGTAGTTGTCTTCTGCTTCCTGAGCCCGCACCACTTGGCCTTGAATCAGACGGTCAGCCAGTGCAGAGCTCTCCTGCAAAAGAAGACAATGTCATGCCTGAGTTTGGCAAGTGTCCAGCTACGCTTTATGTTGGTAGTGGTCTCAACTTGGCAGGCAAGTCATAACCACCTTGTCATAACAGTGTACATGTTAAAGGGGCCCTCCAACACTTTTTGAGCATGGCCAGAAAACGCTTTCGAATAGCAGTCAAGGTTCCAGGGAACACGCAAGCCAAATATTATAGTGCAACACGCAGCCTGGAATTCACAATAAATTCTGAAAGTCAGCTAAAAATTGCTTTCTCTTCTCTCAACAAATGAAGGTACAAACTCAAAAATCCCTCATCACAGCCATTGTATCAGCTGATTTGAGCAAGGTGCACTCGGTTGTTACTCAGGCTGTTACTATGGCTTACTTGCCCACATGTGTGCACGCAATCATACTGAAAAACCGCGTATTCAAAAAAAAAAAAAAAGAAAAAGTGCTCAAGGTCACAAGGCACCCATGACGTATTTTCTTTGTACCGTCTCTCCCTGCTTAGCTTCCAGCGCTTTCAGTGGAACAAGAGAAGAGAGAATGTGTTTACAGTGTGCAACAAATCTTTGTAACTCCGCTCATTCTAGACGAATTCTAAAATTTTTTGCGACGGAGAAGTTGTGAGGCAATAAGCTGTTTTAGTGAATCCATTTCATGGACACTTCAAAAAGTGTTGCACTGGCCCTTTAAAAAGCACTGAAAACAGTGAAATTTTAAATTATGCTTTAGAATATACTGCACAACATACTTTTACTTCAACTTTTCTTTTAAAGTTATTCAAGGATTCAGGCCAAAGTAGCAGGTCTATACAGTTCCATGAATCCGATAACAAAAACTTCAACAAAATGTGCCAATACAGCGAAAAATAGCTATCAGCATTTCGACAAGTAGCAACTTAAGCAATTACTAATGCCAACAGCATGCTAACTACTGTTATTCAGCAGTGGCGACTTTCACTCTGGTTTAATACCAAGTCAGACATAGCTTGCATGCTCCTCAAAAACTGCCATGATTTTCACTGTCCCACAGCAATGCCCTTATAGCCAACATTTAGCAGTAAAATTATGAAATGCAAAGCAACTTCACTGTAGCTCTTACCTGCTCAAGGTGTTCTATCCTTTGTCTTAGAAGCCTGTTCTCTGTACGAAGCCTCTGATGACCAGAAAAAAAAAGATTGCAGGTTGAATCTATATAGCAGTACTACCGAATCAACTTCTAAGAGCATAAACACTGCAACAATAGTTGGTGTAGGCACAGATAGACTAGTTTGTCAGCCATGATATTGATAAATCAGAGCTCAAATTACACATTCATGCAAAATAAAGAAAGAAGACACAAACACCAGAGCTTGTGTTTGCACCTTCTGTATGTGGGCATGAATGTGTCTTTTGTGCACTGCTACATCAATAACAAAGATTCGTGAATGTTAACACCTCAACCACATGACACATGCACACCAAATTTCCTTCAGCACTACCAATACACTGCATGAAGAAAAATGGTTGCAGATGTTAAGTGGCTAATAATGCATCATACTATCAGCAAAGCAGTAAAATCCTACCCAAAGTACTGAAGAAACTACAGCTAATTAAACCTCAATGTATCATATTTCAATAAATGAAAATTCTTAATATAACGCGAAAATCAAGTTTTTAAAACTTCATGCTTTATAAAACACTATGTACTTGTAACTTGCATATAACAAAGTGTTTTTATTCCAATGAAATTTCAATGCTGTCACAAAGGAAGGCCAAAGTAATAAAGCAAAACTATTGCAGGTTGCTGTGGTCCAATGACTTAGTAGTATAGAACTGTTTGCAAATGTACATTGCACAAAAAGAACTGGGAGCATACACATGGGGTATTATGAAATGGAGGCTCTGTGCAGCATAGCAGTAGCTCTGTATTTCAAGAGTTCATTGCGCAGCAGCCAATTTGGTGTTTTTCCGGCTGCCTAAACTGAGTAACAATCATAAGGAGCAACAAGGGCAGTGAGATGGCCATATCAAAGGGGGCCGAAACACTTTTTTCTGCGTACAATGGAACCCCAATTATAGGACTTTGGGAGAACAACAAAAACTGCAATGTAATCCGAGTGTCATAATATTGAAACACTAGGAATATAGGTGGTACTAAAAAAGTAGAGATGGGGACACTCATTCTTCCCAAAAATGGGTAAAGACTACCCAAATAAGCCTACGGCACAAACCTGTGTTGTTCCAAGGTAAGTAAATTTAACTTACAAAAATTACAACTAAGTACTTAATTGGAGGTTCAACCAAAAATCAGTCATATAGCTTATTTGTTTTAAACATACACAAATAACATCAACTGTCCTCGTGCGATCAATGATCAAATGCATCAGGTGTCAATGAAACCAGACAGACACCTGTAATTTAAATGCACATAAGGACACATATTTTAAAAATGCTGAAAAATTTAAGAAGAATTCCCAGATCATCAAGTTCCTGAAATCAATGTGTACAAAAGTAAAAAAGAATGGCATGCAGAGAGATATTTGTAAATGATCAATCAAGCAATCGAAAATGTCTTGAGCATGTGTGTAGAAAGTGACCTTTTTTTTTTTCCACGTAACGAGACATTCAATGTGTCCCAGCTACATGTTTAATTTTAGAAAACTTGATAGAATGCAAGATGACACTTCGCAATAGATCTATAAGTATGAAAGCAGACTAAACACATGAAGTGCAACCTGTACGGTCATGTAGAAAATAGTGTACAGAAGGCTGCATTAGTAAGGGCAGTACCAACATATAATGAGTAATTTTATTAACACTTCCCATAGTTGCAATATGCATGCACATCTCCACAAACATTAAATAAACAAAGAGATTTAAAGAAAGCAATAGTAAACAATTGCTTTCCTATATAATCTATAGCCCATTAGTGAACAACTAAAGCTTTAGTACTTACGATAGGTCATATCACATGAATATGATGGAAACCGACTGTTACAAATGTTTTACTGCAGTGAGTTCACTCTAAGTGAGATTTCACTTTAGTGAGTTCTTTTATGAGAATCTGCATGAAATCAAACACGCAATCTTACATTTAGGTCATATGGCTATTCTTATCATCATTTTGAAACACGCTTTTTCAATAGATGCCACTATCACAGATAGGGCATGATCCAAGTGGTATCCCTCAAAATCATTATCTATAACATTTTCCACGTACACCTTTACAAGTTTTCCTTGACAGCCAGCTTTTTCTACTGACCTTTATGCTATTGTGGGTGTCTTTATTGTACACTTACCCTCAGCTCAATCATTTCTTCATGCTCCTTAACCTTAAGTGCCGTGTACTCTTTTTCCAGCCTGTAAAGAAAGAGCAAAATGAAAAATTAATGAAGATAAACCAACACAGTGATCACTCTCATTAGCATGCCACTCTCACAACATGCACAACTTTCGTAACTACATCACACTGAAACATCTGAACCTTGCTGTATCAACCCAAAGCTCCAGTTCCTAGTGTTATTAAATCCAAGTAGACATTCTCTACATCTAACAGTTGTAACATCCCCTCAGAAATCCCATGCGATAAGTTAGCATTATATTCAGTGTGTTCACTGACAGTTTCAATGCTGTTACGGGGTTTGTAAGAAAGGTTCATTTACAATGAGCTGGGCGACGAGTGTCGGCGAGTACTGATGATGATGACCTAAATGCACGGCTCACACCGACTCTAGGCGATTGGTCAAGAAGCGAGTAATTAGATAGAGGAAATCACATATTACTTGTAAATCTAATGACCAGTACTGCATGTCGTTCTTCTCTTCAACCTCTGTTGCTGTTGTCGCTGCTCCTCCTTCACTAAGGATCAGACCCACTAACATTGATCCCCTTGCCGCAAAAGCCCACGAAGAGAAAAGTTGGTTGAAACGTCACTGAGGAAAAGGATTCAGGCGTGCTGGCAGTGAGGTGTGCAATCTTATAATTCAGTTCACTGAGACACTATCAGAATGAACAGTCCAACAGTGTTGGCGAGCAATTTTGGCACAGTCCAAGATTCCATACCAGAGTCCATAACCACACTAGGTCACCAGGATCGTAGGCAACTTGACGGTGTCGGCTGTCATACCAGGATTTATAGTACTCCAGTGAAGCCAGATTATGCAATTGAGCGAGCCACCAAGCCTTCTCCGCGCAACACAGTGTTTTGCAATACAAGCGTTGTTGTGACTGCAGAAAGCAAAGATAGTGTCCAAAGTGTATCGAGGTGGACAAGCATAAAGATGAAAAACGGGCTGAATCCAGTGGTCTTTTACTGCGGTATTATATGCGTACGTGACGAATGGCAGCACTTTGTCCCAGTTTTTGTGGTCCGAGCTAACGTACACGAATATCATGTTCATGAGGGTTCTATTCGTACACTCGGTCAAGCTACTGGTCTGAGGGTGATAGGGCATGGAATGTCGCAGGTTTGAGGCAGACAGATGTAAAAGCTTTTTAACAATATCAGCTGTGAACCGACGACCACAATCACTAATGATCACGCATGGAGGACCATGACAAAGTATTATCGAATGTAGTACAAATTTCAATACATTAGTTGCTGTTGCAGAGGGTAGCATAGCCGTTAGGCAGAACCGAGTCAGGTAGTTGGCGCACACTATAATCCAACGCCTGGCTGCCCTTAGATGAATGTTGGAAAGGTTCTATCAGACCGATGCCTACTTGTTCAAAGGTGAGCTGGGTGGCAACACAGGATTTAGGCAACTGGCTTGGGCGACAGTAGGTCTCTTGTGGATTTATTTTGGCACAATTGGCTACACAGGTCTCCACTGTATTGCGCATTTATGGCCAGCAAAATCTTTCATAAGCATGATGGAGTGTCAGCATTCATCCTAGGTGACCTGAAGTTGGGTCATTGTGCCCGATGCGCAAAACTGAATAGCGAACAGCTTCTAGCACCACGAGAAGGAATTGTGCACCTGTCGCAGAGAAATTCTTCTCATAAAGCAACCCATCATGAACACAAAAATGGCACGCTGTTGACTCTTTTGCAGCAGAGGAAAGTGGCTCTAGACTCCGATCTTCACGCTGTTTTTTTGTGAAAGCTGCGATACCTGGAAAATCCCCATGAATGGCTGCAATTAAGGGGAGATGCTACTAGAAGACGCTTCTTTTTTTATACAGTCGAGCCCACATTTAACAGCCCCACTCAAAACGAACTTTCGCTTAAAACGAACAATATCTGCATGACCGTGAAAATGTACATTTTTTCAATGGCACAAAATCGCACTTACACGAAACGCAAGCGCCGCCGATTGGTTACAGCGAACGGAGTCGGCGCTCTGCGGATTTCCCGGGAAACCACTTTCGACCATCCATCAGGCATCCGCGAGGTGCCCATAGATTCTTATTGTTAAATGCCGACCTTGCCTTCGCACTCCTCTAGTTGCCGCTCTCCCCAACCGCCAATGCTTTTAAAGACGATAGTCTTTCTTGAGGGCCTTCGACAAAAAAATTTTGGTCTGTCTGTCTGTACATTTGTCTGTTTGTCTGCTTAACGATGCCTCAAACGGCCGACCCCATCCGCACTACCCACCAATATTGCTCAAGATTTAGTGTTCATACTTGTGCGATTGTCAATCAAAAAGCAATTAATGCGCATATCTGAGTTACCATAACAACAAGTCGATGTTTTTTATGTGTGGCTTTATACTAGAGAAGGCACACAAGTAATTCTAAGGACCCTAGCGTTAAACACGCTGCGCTGACAGAGCAATGCTCAAAAAGGCAAGTGTTACCAACGCTTTGCTAAAACGACACGCTGGTGGCACCTGTTCATCCTTTATGTTCTACACCTTGTCGCCTCCGAGAATGGCACGCATCTTTCTCCGCAGGCGCGCACGCCTTTCTTCATTATCGAAGATAACTGCCAAATGGCGCTCATGTCTAACGTGCCTCGATGCGCTCGTTTGCCTCGCTGCACGCTTGAGGCACTCTATCGCAGCGGCTCCAGAATACCATTCCACGATTTTCTTGCGCAGAACATCAAATAAATGTTTTGTTCACTCTCTCCAGACGCAAGACTATCGTCTTTCGACGACATTTGCAGTGTAACATGCAGATCCGGGGCCAATTTTTTTTTACGCACCCCTCGCTTTTGCGGGGCGGGGGGGTTAAAGAACGGAGGGGTGCGTGTTTTAACACTGCTACCAATCTTTCGAAGAACGGTTGGCCATCTCGCCCGTTTTTGATCGCTGGTACTGTCATTGGCGTCGCCGGCTTGGAGTGACCAGAGAATTTGCCGACATCGTCGGCCACTGACTGTATCCGATCGTCTGCGTCTTGTCTTGTCGTTCTAGTGCACGTACGTGCGCTACTCTACCAACCCTGATAATTCGCGATTCCTTTCGTGTTTAGGATCTGTTCTTGCTCGCTTCGCACACGACTCGGCATGCCCTCCGCACGCATGCGGAAGTGGAAAAACGGCTGCTAATTAGCGCGGAACGCATCGCAAAATAGCAAAGCCGGTGAGGCCACGCAAACCCGCTGGCGCAACAAAACGATTCTTTGACCACACCTGCCGATGCATTGAACACCGCCGGGCGCGCAGGCACTCTCTCAATTTTTTCTACGCGTGAGTTGCATGTTTCGCGGACCTTTCAAGCAAGCTACCCAACCTGCCTCCTTCCCATGTGTTTTGGTTTTCAAGGTCGCCTTCCCTCCCCTCTCTTCACCCCTTCGCAACTCCTTGCTCTTGTCTCGCAAAGCTGTTCTCTTCTCTTGATAACAACTCCTTCGCCCATCTCCATCGCTTTGCAACGCCAGCCACGCTGGCTCGAATTCAGAAGTTTCGTTTTCTGACTAGAAACGGGCCCAGAGCTGTACCACACGTTCTGGCATGTGTGTCGCGTGTGCACGTCCTTCTCGCTCTTGGTGTGCACGTGTGTGGTCAGGATGGCAGACGGGAGGCCTTGCACGCTTTTTCCTGCCGCTCAACAAAACATCGAAAGTATGACCGTTTAGGTGCCGCGATGCGGAGCGCTTGACCATCTGGCAGACATATTGCCGCTTTGGGCGTCCCAAGTATTCAGCTGTGGAGATGGAGAATACTTCGTGGGTGGCCGTGACGGCTACATGCGCGCGAAACTGTATTCGCGAGGCAGACTTCGTCGATGTCGGGCCCGATGCCGAGCCTGAAGCTTCTGAACAGGACCACTGCGGCGGCGATTTGTAGCAGCGCGTCGTTAACATCTGTTGCGATGGTTTCATTACGGCCGATGATGATGCCGACACTGCGGAACCCCGCACGGATTAGGGCATAATAAAGTACGCGGCAAGAGCAATTTGAACGAATCGGATTGCGAGAACGACAAAACTTTGGAATCAGTGCCTCATGCAGCTTATGCCACAAGCCTCGGTGAAGAGCACGCTGCTGTTTGAAATAAACTCGGGACTGCCCTTATCGCTTCTGCTCATTAAAACACTTGCGTCACGAACTGTTTTGGGCGAAAAATTTTGTGTTTTCACTCGCAATTCTTTTAAAAGCTGTGTTTCATTTACTACGAACTTCGGGATACAGCGAATGGATGCCGCGTCAAGCTCAGGTTCGTTATAAGCAGGCTCATCTGCATTCACCCTAGAGTAATGAAAATTGAGCTGTTTATAGAAATTTTTATGCTGATTTCAAATATATAATAAGTTTTCTTGCAGGTTGCTTACTTTTATCTCTGCGAAATGACAGTCAAAACCTTAACCCTTTTGCCCCCCCCCCCCCCCTCTTTTCATCCCTGAACTTCTGTAATTTTTTACCATTCATAGTTCATAATGTTTCAAATAAAGTGTAGAATGCAAATAACTAATTCAAAAGCACATACAAAATATGTAATAGGCATGAAAAATAATAGACGTAAAAAAGCCTATATTTCGCCAACCCTAGTAAAGGTTTACATATATTTTTCTATTATAAAATAAAATATTGGACTTTAAACTAGATAATTGTATTTGTCATACTTCGGAAAAATTTGGGCAAAATTTCATGCAGATCTGAGCACTAGAAGTGCCCGGAAAAGGAGGGGCACATTGAAAAAAATGGCGAAAGTTGTGTTTTGAAAAAAAAAAAAAAAAAAAAACGAGTTTCAAAGTTAAAATAGAGTTTTATTTATAAAAGATGCCTATAAATGCGATGAAATTTGCACATCAAAAAGAACAATCCTTCTTGTAGTGGCCACTGCTACTAAAATACGCCAGCACCATGAGCTTGTCTTTCTCAGCTTTTTCGAGCAGACTCCTCACAGACATTTCGCTCAGAGACAGTGCCATGAAAAGCTTGTCTAACTTCTTCCGCTCCATCTGGCAAAGCTTTGTGCCGACTGCAAGCTAGGAAGAAGTTCGACAGGACTGCGAGATCTAAAGTAAGTCCTGTGTCGAGGGACACAACCGTGCTGATGTCATTTTGCGGCCATGTTTGTGCCACATACCGTCATACATAATGGCAATGTCGTCCCCGCTAAGCTTCCTTACTGTGAGCTCCTTCGACCATGAAAGATTGGCACTGACATCATCCATTGCTGCATCACGAACTTTTCGGCTGATGGCTGTGAATGTCTTTTGATGCATTGGCTTTTGAAAGCCAACAATTGCCGCAAATCGAACCAGCTGCTCGTAGCCTATTCCTACAGAGCATGTCACCACAACAGTATCCACGCGTGAGCAATAGCTTTTTTTCACTCATAACGGAGATAAATACACGAGAAAAGCATTGTTCAGCTGTGCTGCTAGACAAGACATGAACCCAGCAAGTAGGCTTCACAGCACATACAGGCACGCAGCAGCCAATGGCGGTCCTCGATCTGTACCACGTAATAAGCCAGTCGTTGCACACAAAAAACGCGCAAAAGCATGCTTATTTTTATTATTTATTGCACCGCATCAGCGAGGAAAACTGTCGCTATTTGAAGAGTGAGGCTCGACTCTTCACCTCATGCAATCAACAATGGCTTGCCGCGGTGCATTATCGGCGGCGAGGTGCTCAAAGACTGCACACTTTGGGCCTTTTAACAGGAGCCTTGTGCTCATTAGACGCAATTTTAAAGCATTTCCAGTCAAGTCTCGACATGTATTCTTTTCTTTCAGAACAGTCGAAAATAAAAAAATCGCTAATTTTCAAAAAAAAAACTCGCATTCTTCGACCTGCATCTCCCCTTAAATGATCGAAATTGTCAGCGTCACATTCCATTGCACGGAGACGCATCCTGGAAAGGTTAGCATCAGCATGCCTTCGTTCGCTTCTGTAGAAGACGGCGAAGCTGTACTGTTGCAAATGTAAGGCCCATCATGCAAGGCGTCCCAATGGATCACGAAGACTGACGAGCCAGCATAGAGAGTGATAGTTGGTGATGGTAGTGAACTTGTGCCCATAAAGGTATGGCCAAAACTGCTGCACGGCGAAAATAAAGGTGAGACATTCCTGTTCAGTAACTGTGTAGTAATGTTTGGGTTCTTAACGACCAGCTCGCATAGGCGATGACATATGTTCTTTGTTGTTGATGCGCTGAGCAAGAACAGCACCTAAACCTACACCACTCACATCTGTGTGGACCTGTGTTTGCGCTGAGGAATTGAAGTGTCGGAAAATTGGCTGCGACGTCAGCAGAAACTTCAGTTGTCGAAAGAAAGCAGAACACTTGGGTGTCCTCTGGAATTGGGTGTTCTTGTCCAGGAGGCTTGTCAATGGATAAGCCACGTCAGCAAAGCAAGGAATGAATTGCTTAAAGTAGGAGCATAGCCCCAGAAAGTTCCTTGGTGGACAAAGGTGGCACAAATGCTTTAACTGCCTCCATTTTTGCTGGGTCGAGCCTGATAATATCTTCGTCAACGAGATGTCCCAACACCAAAGCTTGGCATTCACTGGAATAACACTTTTTAGAGTTAAGCACAATGCAGCTAAAGACAGTGCCGAGATGCGTGTTGTGCTCGTCAAAGATATGACCAATGATGATAACATCGTCGAGACGGAACATGAATATCTCCCATTTAAAACCTCGCAGAATGGTGTCCATGAAGCATTCGAAGGTGGCAGAGCGCTATACAAGCCGAATGGCATAAGGTTAAATTCAAAAAGTTCATCAGGTGTTACGAAAGCTCTTTTTTCTTTGTCTTCGTCATGCATCAGGATTTGCAAATAGCCAGCTCTCAGGTCGACAGAAGAAAAGTAACAAGCCGAATCAAGACAGTTCATTTAACTTCAGTTCATCTTCTGAATCTAACAATTTATTTCATTAAATCTTTTTCTTGTCTCTACAACATTTGGAATGTTACATCATCAACTGTCAGAAATAAAGGCAATTCCTTGTCTACAAAGTGGCAAAACTAGCCAAACTGAGCACAATGACAATCACATGCTGATAAGGGGAGAAAGGAAAAGGAAAAAGAACCACCTTAATTTAGTTTATAGCCTGCAAAAAGCTCAAGTAGCTTTTGCTGCAGTACACTGCTGTCATAAAAAAAGCATATTAATACTGGGAAGGGGCTACAAGTTGTCACGGGCCACAGCAAACTGTCATTTGATTACAGAGCATGCACATGCCATATAACTAACAAGTACCAGTGCGATAACCGATATCTAAAATACCTCACTTTATAGACTTCCTGAATTTCAAGGTCCTCAGGTTGGCTAGCATTTTTATGCGAATGTTTAATTAATTGGAATATCGGTGGGTATGTTACCCGGAGCCATCTTTATGAGCTCCTGTGATAATTGAAACTCCTGATAATTAAAACAAAATTAAACAAAAATGCTGAAAGTGTTCAAGAAATCTCTTAACTCTGGTCATTCTAAGCGGATTCAAGAATGTTCGTGGCAATCCATTTATAAGGCAATAAATTCAGACAATGAGGTCATATAATGATTACTTAGTAAGTGGTTCAGGACCCCTTTAACATGACTAATTCCAGATAAGCTCGAAATTGAGTGCAACTATAAGAAAGTACATTAAAGTAAAATATTTTTTCTATGCACGACAGTAATACTTCTTCACCAACGTGATGATGAGAATGTAAAACATATACTTCACTTGTTCATTTGACCATTAAAGTGCCCAACATATTGATAAACAGCTTACATGAAAATAAGAACATTTTAGAAGTTTCTGGCACTCCAAACCACGGAAAAAATAGTTTGGCAGAATAGTTCTTCCATTTAAGCATCAATTCCATCAAAAAAATTTCTATTTACTAAGAGTCCGCCGCTGTAATTTCTATTTACTAAGAGTCCGCCGCTGTACACAGAAAATCAAAAGTAAAATAGAACACCATCCAAGATAGCCACTCACTTTTTTATTTTCTTGCTGTTGTACTTCACTTGCAGAGCCAGGTTTATAAGATAATCAGGATCTGTTTCACACTTGCTTGGCATTTCCTTTTGGAAGTACTGCACATAAGAGCATGCAAAAACATCATGGTCATCCAACATAACTCCTTCAGGCATGAATTATGATGATCCACCTGCAAATATGTCAAAATTACACAAATTTTTCGAAGCCACTCGATATTCCATTGCAAGAAAGAGAGCAGTAATATGTGTATTAAAGAATTATCATTAGTCAATTATAATTAGTATATGTTCAGAAAACCTGCTTACTTCAAAGATGCTCATGTTCTAACTTTGTATAAAAATGATCAAATAACAGGCCTGAAATAAATGGGCAATGACTTTTCGAGGGAAAAAAATTATAGCTTTAGCATGGCAGTGGCCCGCTGAACGACTCGCTGAACGTAACTGTGTCTTAAGCAGTGATATTATGCAACATTACGCAACACAATGAAACCAAGTGAGTTCTAGTTGTTAATTGAGAAAGTGTGTAAAAATGTGCACATCATGTTTCAAGCCAGTTGAGGTAACATGGAGTATGTGACTTGCCTCTATATTTGAAGTGTACAATAGTACACATTACCGCAGCGGGGGATAATTTGTAAGAGAGCCCAGAACAAATAATATTAAGCATGAGGCATGTTTTGCACAGATCATGCATGCAAAACTATCAGCACAAGCATGATAATAATGTCACAGGGTCATGATGCTAAGTTGGAGACAGTGTGCCCAAAATGAAACTTTTTTTTTGGTCGAACTTCAGTCCGGGAAAACGGAAACTCAAGCTACAACAAGCAATGCACTCTGCACACTAATATTGGCAAACAGAGCGTTGGCCGTCAATAAAACTGATCATCACTGGGTCGCATCATCTTCTATACATCACGCATCGAACTTTCCAGGCTTACCACTGGTGGTCACGTAAGCTCTGGGGCAAGCATGGCTGTTCACGTTCTGCACACAATCTTAATAAAATGATCTGCTACAATCGTGAAGCTTCTCGAACACTGAAACGCAATTTATGCCGAGCATTGCTGACAGTCTTTGTGTGTTTAAACTGAGCAGATCAAGATAATACATGTGACAATATACAGTTTGAGTACTTTATTATATTGCAGCTAGAAGTTAAACCAAAATTTACTTCATCCTAACCATTACTTTGTAATCAGCATTTTCTATCGCTAAACCTATATCACAGAAAAAAGGATGTTCAATTGAATGTCCAGCACAGTCAAAAGCCCACAAGGTTGAGTATACTTTAGAGCTAAGGAGCTTATTATTGTCTTTCGATCAGTCGTCTTTAGGAGGATGACTGTACACACTGCTCTAGTTGTTGCCTCCAATCATGTGTGCCAAAAAAAAAAAAAAAAAAGCAGAAAAGCCACTGCACCTGCGGCCCGCATGATTGCCGAGACATCTACTTTGCAAACATCCCGAATGTCAGTCTTCCCGTCTTTGCTTTCTGCTACCATCACATTAAGCGCAATGTCCCAGACTGACAGTTTTTCTTTCACAGTGTCAGTATAAGTATTGACTAAATGAAAAAAAAAGTTATATAGTTGGAATGACAGTGGGTAAAACTTTTTTCAGAGGCAAATGTATTTTCATACATCCACTGACATGACAATTTTCTTCGTTAGAATGAGATTTAATATACATGTATCGCTATAGAAACTTCAAAGATAACTATGTATAATTACTTCATTGTATCTAAAATTTTGTTATAACCTGTTTTGTTATAACAAAGTATTACTGTATTTCGAGAGTTCGCCAAGTTTTCTTCAGACTGCTGATGCAGGTATGCTACTGCAAAGTTTCTCACCCTTAGCATGCCTTCCATGTCCAGTTGGAGTATGTCTTCCTTACAAAATTGGAGAATAGCTATGGCTATCCTGAAAATCATCTCCATTCCCTGTTGAAAGAACAAAATATACATTTAATTCATATTGATGAAAATATAATGAGTGACTAAATATCAGTATTTTGGCAAAAGGAATGTGTGGTAAATGAAAATGAAACAAGTGCCAGACATAGTAAGAACTAAGAATGCTTTTTGATGGGCAGAAAAAGACATGACAAGACTGGAATGCCTTACCAAGTACATTCTTTCTTCAAGAATTCATTTTCCAACTCAAGGCATAACTTTAATTTTCCAACAGTACATCACATGATTATTTCAATGTTTTCATTGTTGGGGTTTAACGTCCCAAAACCACCATATGATTTTGAAAGATGCCATAGTGGAGTGTTCCGAAAATTCTGACCACCTAGGGTTTTTTAAAGTGCACTTAAATTTAAGCACAGGGACCTCAAGCATTTTTTCCTCCAGCAAAAATGCGGCCGTTTCAGCCGGAATTCAATCCGATGACCTGCGGGTGACCAGCCTTAGCCATTAGACCACCGTGACGAGTGTACCTCTCACAATTAAATAAGCATAGTAAAGACAAAGAATCATTGACAACCTAAGGGGACTGTGCTATAAGTAGAACACCAGAGCGTGCAGTAGGTTTTAACAGTTCATACAGACAACAAGAAATTCCAGGTAATGTCCTCTCAGATGCACACACAAAATTTTCCTACATCTCACTATACACACATTTAAAGAGGTTGTATTATTCGATAAATTTAAAACAAGACTGCTAAAGAGTTACCATTACTTGAGACTGCAGCTCTGCATTGCTTTAAATAGCAAACAGCTAAATGCCAATCAATACAAGTTGCCACTACATATTTCCTCACCTCCGAGAGAAAAAGGTCCATGACGCGGCATGCTAGGGTGTGCGGCAAGCAGGAAGTGAACAGAGTAAGAAACCATGATGAGGCATACATAGATGTGTGGAAGCTTTGAGCCTGGAAGTGCATGTGGATCTCTGGCACCAACTCCTGCATGTGAAAAGATGCACATGAATCAGACAAAATGGTACTACCACAACTGTTAAACAAGGCTGGCATTGAAAACACCAGCACAGTGAAAGGTGCCCCGAAATAAATTTTACAATACACTCTACATCATGGAATAAGGATATGGCGAGTTATAAAAATGAGCGCTTCAGCTAACTGGCCTACAAAGCAACACAAACGTTACATCTGACGAACATGTGTGTCACGTCCATATGTTTTCATTCTTCTATTAAGTTTTTCTATCCCATTCATGACAATGTTCCAAAACCTTCAGCCTTTTGGCCAACATTTGACATACAACAGGCCTTTAACACGTTTGCTCTCATACACATACACAAATAAAACTAAGCATTGGTATCTCCTCATAAAACATATCATGAATTACACAAGTCCAGCATCAAAAGTTCTGCTTTAATGCAGCAGACATGCGATCAGCTTAATGATCAACATTATAAAGCTAAAACACAGCCACACCACAGCTGTGGGTATTCAAATACTTAAATGAAATCACTGGCTATACCCAGTGACAACTGTGACAGCACAGCCAGAGTTCTGTAGGTGGAGCTTCTACATGGAAGCCATTATGGCACTATTTTGCAAGCGATTTTGGTTTTGGTTCTATGAACATATCACGCATGCTTCTTTTTTACAGTAAACCTACATTTGACTAGGCGAAGCCATAATTTGTGAGTACTATGTGAGCGAAAATTCTAGCAGGTATTGGCCACAGATTTGGGCAAGTTCCACTATTTTTTCCCCAGTCCAGTAAAAATGAAGTAAAATGAAAGTCTACAGGCAAAAATGTACATGCCACAGAAATGGGGTAAATTTCACTACTCAACCTGGTCCACTAAAAGTGAAGAAAAGAGCACACAGGTGGAAAACACAAATATTTCTGGTCAGGCGTAACCAATAGCTGAGAAAGACCTTAATGAACTGCCAGGATTAACCCACTGGTTTTGGGGCTGCATATTCCAACTTTTCTGGCTAACCACCTGTACAAAGCCCTTGGGTGGCGATTTGTAATGCAATAGAAATTACCCTTTAATGCCTGAATTAGGAAACTGCCAAAGAAAATAAAAATTGTTTTCATTTTCCAGCTTTAAATAGCAACCTTTAAATGACTCCACACTTAAATTATCTAAAATGCACCTTTAATGGATACTTTTATGTATATTGAAAATTCTCCACATGCCACAGAAGCGAGGACCTTGCAAAGAAAAACGTGCTTCAGAACTACGCAACATGCCGTGTGCCACATCTTGAGCATGTATACACCAAATAAACAATATTATTCAAGATAGAACTTGCGTCAGCCAGGCGAGGAAGAACAAAGAAGTGAGTGCTCTTGCACGTTCTTTTGTTTTCCGCCATCAGCTACAAAACGATAGTTTCTAGCATAAAATACATTACACAAGAAAGCGCTACATTTTTCATGCTGAAAGCTACATTCTTGACAGCCGGCGTTAAAGACGGCATGCATTCTGTGTTTTGCTTGATTGAAGTTTTTCAGCATGTTGCGAATTCGCGACACTAGGCAGTAAAGTGTTAAAGGGCTCGTTTTGCAATAATTCTGGTGCCGGCATCATTGATTGTAAGCAAAAAAATCATCATTTTGTCCGTGACTGAAGAATCAAGAAAGATGCAAATAGAACAAAAACAAAATTTTGCGTGAGAATCGACCCCAGACCTTCTGTGTGGCAAACAGGTGTTCTACCACAGAGCCACGCCATTGCTTGAAACTGTTTTGGAAAAAAACACTATATGTATGCCATGTAGTGTGTCACCTTAATGCATTTAATATTGCGTGACAGAAGCGTAGAGTCATACCAGGCATCAAAACATGTGAACTCTATAAGAAGTGGGTGTTTCAAAGGCCCACCCATTACAAAGCACTCAGACACATTCAATTATGGTTATCAGCAACAGCATCAAAAAGTGGAGGGCTTCTTAAGTTCGCATGTTGCTTTATTGACAAGTAATGGGCCCTTTACTGATTTGCTAAAGGAAGAATGCTGGCGTGGCAAGCACTTCACAAATGTACTTGCAGTAGCCATTCCAAGAGTTTGAAATGGTCATTGTTACGCTCATAGACATTTGTTTCTTTGTGGCACGGTTGGTTCCACCGAGAGCCGAAGCCAGGCTGTAATGGCGATGCACACATGGTGCCCGATTATGCTATCTCATTCTACTCTTGAAGATCAAACTCAAACAGAACTTCAAGTTTTTTTTTTCTATGGTGTGCATTTTCACGTGAAAAACTTCTGCTTGTACAACCCATGAAATAGTGGGAATGAAACAAGGTTGATTGATTTGTGGGGTTTAACGCCCCAAAACCACCATATGATTATGAGAGACGCCGTAGTGGAGGGCTCCGGAAATTTCGACCACCTGGGGTTCTTTAACGTGCGCCCAAATCTGAGCACACGGGCCTACAACATTTCCGCCTCCATCGGAAATGCAGCCGCCGCAGCCGGGAATCGAACCCGCGACCTGCGGGTCAGCAGCCGAGTACCTTAGCCACTAGACCACCGCGGCGGGGCATGAAACAAGGTTACCTACCACATTAATCTAAAGCAGCCACAAGTACTTGTGGCTACAATGATGGCTACAATGAATTGGAACTGTTAAAGAAGCTCCTTGATTGATTTGTGGGGTTTAACGCTCCAAAACCACCATTTGATTATGAGAGACGCCGTAGTGGAGGGCTTCGGAAATTTTTGACCACCTGGGGTTCTTTAACGTGCACCCAAATCTGAGTACACGGGCCTCTAACATTTCCGCCTCCATCAGAAATGCAGCCGCCGCAGCCGGGAATCGAACCCGCAACCTAGGGGTCAGCAGCCGAGTACCTTAGCCACTTGACCACCGCGGCGGGGCTAAAGAAGCTCCTTCTAAAAAAAAAAAAAAAAATTACCTCAACTCAGTTTTGCGCTTGAAGGCCACCAACTAAATTTTCCATTCTAATATGCACTATGCACTGCAGTAATGTTTTTGGAAATCAATTGAATATTTTGTATTGCATATCAACAGAAGAAGAAGTTTATTTGAAACAAGTGGTTTTGAACGGCCACGGACGGATGCTCAAGTAATGTGCAATCAGCACCAGCAAGATGCACCAATCTTTGCCACAGCTATTTTTGTCATTTCCGAATGACAGAAATGCTCTCCATACTGGTAATGGTAAAGCACGCTGCCAACCATATATGTAATAGACATTATTGCATCTGGTCGAATAGGTGAGGCTTTGCAATGGTTATCATATCCCTAAAGTTGAACACAGCCATGCATAAAGAGCCGAAATGCTTACTGCACTGATGTGTCCAGCGTTACAGCACCAGTGTACCTTCAACGTGATCCCATCACTGATCATCATCATCATCATCATCATCGGCCTGGCTACGCCCACTACAGAACAAAGGCCTCTCCCATGATCCACCAAACAACCCAATCTTGTGCTTTCCATTGCCACATTATACCTGCAAACTTTTTCATCTCATCGGCCCACATAACTTTGTCTCCCCTTCGTGCGTTTGCCTTCTCTGGGAATCCAGACAGTTACCCATAATGACAAACGGTTAGCCTGCTTACATGCCTGGCCCATATCAATTTCCTCTTCTTGATTTCAACTGCGATATCCTTAACCCCCGTTTGTTCCCTGACCTACTGCTCTCTTTTCATCTTTTAAGATTGCACCTATCATTTTCCTTTCCATCGCTCACTATGTCGTCCTCAATTTAAGCTCAACCCTCTTTGTAAGCCTCCAGGTTTCTGCTTCGTAGGTAGGTACTGGCAAGATGGAGTTGTTATATACCTTCCTCTTGAGGGTTAGTGGCAGATTACCATTCATTATTAGACAATGCTTGCCGAATGTGATCCACCCCATTTTTATTCTTCTAGTCACTTCACTTTCATGGTTCAGCTCCGCCGTTACTACCTGTCCTAAGTAAACATATTCCTTTACAACTTCCTGCCTCTCTCCACCTATTGCAAAGTGCTGTTTTCTGCCGTAACTGTTGCACATTACTTTAGTTTTGTGCATATTTATTTTCGGACCTACTTTTATGCTTTCTGTGTCCATTTCTGTAATCATGAGCTTTCATTCGTCCCTTGAGTTACTATTAAGGCAATGTCATCAGCGAATTACAGGTTACTAAGATGCTCTCCATTAACAGTTATCCCTAACTCTTCCCATTTTAGGGTCTTGAAAACCTCCGGAACCAAAAATACCAACCATGAATGTAAAAAAACTCATAAAATGAGTCATTTATTTTTAACATAGTCTTCCCGATTGCAGTTTTGCTTTCAAGCTTGTCAATTCACTGAAGATGACCTAGTTGTTGGCATCAAGGTGATCCCAAAAATGAGAGACGCAGTTGTGCAGGTGGTATCGCTTGCACACAACTCCTTTCCTTGTTATTGAATGAAGACAACAAAATATTTTGCAATGCACTGGTAACTCCCTATGTGCCCCTTTCTCCATGTGAAATCAGCTCATGAAGTCCCTTTCACTCACCATTACACTCCCTGTAGCCCAGTCACCCCATGCTTGTTTACAGAAGCAGGAAAGTTAGATATGGACACAGCAAAAACTATATTTCTACTCGGCAAGCTTTCTTACCTGTGATGTAAAAAGTATTGAACGTAAAAAAAAGATAGAAATGAATGCTATGTTTTCTTCTTTGCTACATAGCCGATAAAAGCTTACATAGGCAGACTGTGTGCTGGAGCATTCCGAAACTTGCACTTCCGCTTTTTGCCCTCGGCTGTGCTGCCCCAGAAAGTAGTCAATGGATGCAATGTAACAGATGCCAACAAAGGACATAAAACAATAGACAACACCATTCAGGGATTTGGCTACTCAACACAGCATTGAATGTGAGAAAATGAGGTGCTCATTAATATAGTACTATTTTAGCATGATGCATAAAACCATACTTTAAAGACACAAATGTACTTACTCATTCAATGGATTTATAATTAGTGTCATTGAAGAACACACAGACAAAAATGATAGGCAAAAGGATGACAGAAACAGGTGCTGCGTCAAAACTCGCTGTACCAACATGACTCAACATGTAACAGCAGATCACTAATAACAACCACACCACCAACAAATGCCTCGCTTATCTATTAGGTAACTGCACTATAGGCATCAAATGAAATGTGAGCACCAGCAAGCATTCGCAATGGTATAGTACAAGCTGTCCAGTCATCACCATGGGCAGGCGCACATATGTGCTGTGCTGTCGAACTGAATGTGCGCGCCTGTCAATGGTGTTGACGAGAAGGCGCGCACTAAACCATTGTGAATGCTTGCCGCTGTTCGGCTTTCATTGGATGCCAATATTACGATGGCTGTGGCACCTATAAATTTTTTTTTCACTTGTTATGGTAATCATGCCAGATCGATCGTACTGCAGGCAGCAGCCTTGATAAAACAATAGTACAGGGTTACAGACCTACACAGCTAACAGCTGAACTGGCAACCTAATGAGGAGCAGAAGAAAGCACTGGCCACTCAGTCTTTGTGGCAAATGCTGAGCAGACGTCCTTTTTAGACACAAAGCAGAAACTTACAGCTGCTTTTGTTGTATAAATCTGAGACCTTGCCCATTTCCGAACATAACGAAGAACAGTTCAGCAAGCAGCACTGATATGCTCTTATATGAATATGCAGTAATGCCATTTCTTAAAGCACCCTTTTGACTACAAAAGACGGGTAATTTTTGAGGGGCACTTTTCCTCTGTTAGACACAACATAAGGAATGCAATAGACAATTAAGTTAAGGAGAGCATATAGGACATTACTTGATATTTTTAACTGAAGTATGCTTCACAACTATACCACCTCTTTAAAGAGGGCTAACAAATATTGCATACCGAAAATAATTCTCATTTTATTTTTACCACTACCTTTGTGGTGTAATTTTACAACTCAGAGAATGTGACAAGCTAAATCCTTTTCATACTGCAAGCCATAAATTTTCTGGAAATCTTGAGCCACACTCAAGTTTTTCCACCAAGTACAGATTTGCAAAGTTCTGTTATGCTCAGCATCAAATACAATGTATGCATGCTAGGCAAACTACTCGCTAGTGTAGTTCATGCTAAATATGATAACATGCACCATATTTATTTTTATCTAATATAAACTTGTTCAACCTTATAATATTTCATGTAGAAAGGATGGAGACATCAAGTATATGAACTTCTTTGCCCTTTAGTTATGAAGGCATAAACTTCCAGCAGCGTGCGGGAATATTTGAAATTTCCACTGTAAATGTAACACTGTATGCTATTTCATATTTGATTTGAGAATTCACCACTGAAACTTGTCAAATACTTGTTTCTCTAGAATGTAGAAGACATAATACTAACTGGAGTCCTAAGAGAGTAGGATTAAAATAGACATGAGAATTGATTTGAATAATCTTTCTCCAAGATATTTGTTGTTTTTATGCTGAGGCAACAATTCTTAATATGTGCACATAGTTTCCACTCAATAATTTCTAGTCACTAAAAATGGTAGGCCTTTATGTATGATCTTGGTTAGGTATAAAATCGTCTTACGTATAAATCTGTGGCAACTACTTAGTCAGCCTCACCATGCCTGCATCTCTTTAAAACAATGCCCAGTGAAGTAGTATACCACCACTATCCCTCAGTGGACACAATACTGCAGGGATATAGAGGGTGGCACACAAGTGATTCATTAAATTTGGTTTGATGAAAGAAGATCGACTGTTTTCCCTTCATAATATTTATATTCAATTTGATTTGAAATTTTCGCTCTTTCTACACATCTACATTTGAACTAATGTTCATACTCAACAGTGCTTTGCAGAAATATCTTTTCCTGAATAACTAAATGTTTTTTTTTTTCTCACCTGGAAAACAGTTGCACATACAGGATTAAAAATTTTATGCCGTCATTTGTAGTAGGAAGCACAATCTGAGCCTTGCATGAGCTAGCTGGGTGTGCAAAACTATTTGGCAAGTACAAAAAGCACAATTTTATTTTAAACATAGATGGATTTAAAAATAGTGCCAAATAGATGCCACAAGTGTCAAATATTGAATATTAAAGCACATGCATGAGTGTCAAGCATTGATGGAAGAACCCCTGTTCTGACCAACAGTGGCACTCCCGATGGCAAAATGTGGCAATTTGCTCGGGGGTACCAATACTTGAGAGAAGAACCTTTTGTAACGCAATAGCGTTAAAGAGCTCGCTTCGCAGAAAGTACAGCGTCAATGTCGGCGTCGTTCGTTGTGAGTGAAAAATCCTCTTATGCATGCCCGAAAAATCAAGAAACATGCAAATAAAATAAATAAATGATAAAAAATCCTAAAGCAGAGTAGGGACCGAACCAGGGTTGTTTGGGTCGAAGTGGGGATCGAACTGGTGTCGTTTGCGTAGTAAGCGGGCATTTGCGTAGTAAGCGGGCATTCTACCGCAGAGCCATGCCTCTGCTTGTAAAAATAGTGAAAAAAAGTTCCTCTGCTTGGAGATGCAGTGAAAGTAGCTTTCACAAACACACACATCCTGTATACATGCTTCACAATGCAACATGAAATATTGCAGTAATGCGTGGTACAAGCGTCCATTGCCAACGGGTGTCAAAATATGCGATTATCATAATGGCTCTGTGGTTAAAGCCGGTACCCCTATACAAAAGGCACACACGCTACTGCGGCTATTCTCTTAAAGCCATGTAGAGGGTGCACAGCAAATTCGAAGAAGTTTCATGCACCAAGTGTTTGAACTACGCTCTAGAAACAGGATGTCGCTATCGCGTTCAACTCCTAAAGGCGAAGCTTTAGGGTCCCTCAATTTTCTTTTTTTTTTTTTTTTCAAATCTTTGTAATGTTTCTTTCAATGGCTACTTGCTACATACTATTGTGCATAATTGTCAAGTTTTACAGTCATGAGTGCTCCAGGTTCAGTGATCATTCACAGCAGCATTCAAAAAGGCTGTTATTCTCTTTATTTAAAAAAAAGGAGATAGCTAGAGTTTCTGAATGGCTTCTGTTACATGACCAAGTTTTTACATGTGACAATAAGTGATGAGGTTTTCGCGGGCCAAAAAAAGAAGAAAATAGTGGGGGCCTGGGAATCCAAGTCGTAAAGACGGCTGCGACTCTAGTGAGGACCAGTAGTCAGGCCAGCAACTGCATTAATAAATGTCTATAGTAAAATGCCCTTGCACATATGTCTTCTTGTTTTTTATTATTTTTTTGATGCATGGAAATGTCACATCTCCTAAATATAAACATTCGTTATGATGAGCTTGAGCAACTGCAACTAAATTGCAACACTGGCTGCATTCTGCACATGTACGAATGCAGCATTGATGAGTTGTACCTGCTCTTCAAGAAAATGCAGACAAAGGCAGGAAATTGTACACGCAGAGACCCAAAAGCCATAAATATAAAAACCAGCATAAATCCTGGCTGTGGAGATGATAATTTCAGGAGGAGACGTGCTTGAGCATGTGATGGAGAAAGGGCATACACTACCTAACGTGCTTATGCACGTATGCACCTTTTAGATGAGAAAAAATGAAAGCACATGCACACCTGTGAGCAAAAGTATATTAACCACAGAAGTGCAAGCCGAAATCGCTGTCTACGCCATGTAGTCGCGAGCCGTTTGCTGTTGAGAGCATTGCTTTGATGCAATTTGTAAGAGAAGTGATCTCTACAGCACACGACTTGCCCCTAGACGTTGCAGACGTCAAAGGTATATGGGCAGCAATGGTCCGTATACTTTTAGCTCATGGGTGCACCTACAAAAATGGTGAAATGCTTAGCAAGAGAAAGGGAAAGATGGTAATAAAAACTTATGTACCTGTACAAGGCACTCCAGCTGGTACATACAGAGTCCCAGTTCAGCCATGCTGGGCTTGTATATTTCCCGTAGACGATAGTCTTGCATCATTCGCACCAGCACTGTGAATGTCTCTTCTTCAGGCATCTGCCCAATGATTTCAAAGAAATAATTCAATTAATCGACCTGCCTGAGATAAATCTTGCTGTAGCCCTTCAGATATGAAATCCTATTTCAAAGTCTAATATCTATAATAGAAAAAAACACTCCATGCATATCAGTATTACATCATCATAATCATAATAAGTAGCCTGACAATGTTCCCTGCAGGACAAAGGCGCCTACAATGTTTCTCCTTTTTAGCCAGTCCTGTGCTTCCTATAACCACGTCATGCCTGCTCACCTAACTTCTGCATCTTGCTTGCACGCTTGTTGTCTTTCGGAATCCAAGTCTCAGTGCCCAGTGGTTATCTTGGCTTACTACATGCCCTGCCCAAGCCCATTTCTTCTTTTTGATTTCTATTATTATTTTATAATTTTCTTAGGGTGTACATGACACTCTATTTTCTTTCATAATCAGTGTTATACAGGTTAATCCTTGTGTGTTCACAAACAAGCTGGCGAAATTTCAGCACATTTGGTCAAACACTTCATTTATAATCGAATACTTTATTTATAATAGAATACAGGCACGCTTCGGGCAGCAGTTCTTGTCTTTTATATAAAAAAGTCTCTTAATAGCAGGGTACTTTGCATACATTTTATTATTGTATTCTACTGTGGGCACACTGGTGTCTCAGACAAAGGGGTCTGACTGTATTTACGTAAATGTGTGAGCAGCTTGAACAACAACATTGGCAGATTTGCAAGCCATGGTGCAGCAAACTGCTGGCTGTGCGGCTGTCTGTTTTACGGTAAACAATTTTGTTCCATGCTCAGTTGGGAGTGAAATTGAGCTATTTAAGCTTTCTTGAGCTTGGCATTCAAAGTGAACAATTTTCAGGGACTGAAACCTCGGTAAAAGATAATGGGTCTGCTCCATGCACGGCAAAATGATGATCGCTGGCATTGGAAGGGGTTTTTACCCGGCGACTTCTAGAGCTTGTTTTGCATTGAAATATTTTCTTACAAGCCATTTTTTATGTATGTATAGGTCCAATAGACCCTCTACATTATCCGCTGCTGAAAACCACCAATTGTTGGGTCACAGTGTCAAGACCCTTTTAAAATAAAGTGATGGCTTTGTATGCATAAGCATTGAAGGCCTCAACTTTCTGTCAAAGCTGCACTGCTACAAATATGCTTCTTAAACTTGCTAGGCAAAATGAAGGAAGTCTATCCTTTCCAGTTTTAATATGGTAATTAAGTTTTCAACAAAGATTTTTTTAAAGAGATGCACATTTAAAGCACAGTGGATACTAACAAGCATGCAAAGACGTGTAAAATTATTCACACTACTAAAAGTATGTTAAACTAAACTTACAATTGCATAATATTTCCAACTATGAGTGCAATTTCACACACACACATCCTATGTACTTGCTAAATGGATATATATATATATATATATATACACACACACATACGCGACACCACACATGCGCATAAAAGAGTATTTTACACTCGTCGCTTGGCTTATAGATGGCGTTGACTGACACTCCTACTTCCAAATTCACATATAAACCCAAAAAAAGTGGATGGAGGGAAGGCCGCTGTGATAGCTCAGTGGTTAAAGCATCGAACGTGTTATTCGAAGGTCGTAGGTTCGATTCCTGCTCACGGCTGGTTATTTTATGACCCACTTTTCTTTCTTCTTATTTACATTCCATTGGTTCTAATAACTTCCCCTGACCATTCCTTGGCATTACTGTCTGTTAGATCTCATTATTATTGTGTCAAAACATGGAAAAACGAGCCCTTAGGTATACACTTATTTCCCTTACCTATATATATATATATATATAGGCAAAGAAGTGTATATGTAAGGGCTTATTTTTCTATGTTTGACACATTATTAATGAGATCTAACGAACAACAATGCCAAGGAAAGTATAGGGGATGTTATTAGACCGAATTGCAATAATGTTAATGTGAAGAAGGAAAAGTGGGTGAAAAGATAAGTTTCCCTGGGCAGGAACCGCACCTGTGACCTTTGAATAACGTGTATATAACGAATATGTATATATATATACTTATAGAATAGATACACCTTCCAAAAAATACTGCACATTACAATAAATGAAGAATGCAACTGGAAAAAAAACTAAGCAGCTCAAGAAATTTGGAACTATCCTAAAGCAAAGCACGCTACAATAGAAGAAAATAGCCCAAAACCAAGCACATTAAATTCAGATATTACATTAACTTTATCATAATGATGCAACGTGGTTAAAGTTCTAAAAAAGAACATGATAACAGATCGATAGGTTGAAAAGTGAGGTTTAACGTCCCAAAACAATCATGTGTTATGAGAGACGCGGTAGTGGAGGGCTTCAAAAATTTGGACCACCTGGGGTTCTTTAATGTGCACCCAAATTTGAGCACACAGGCCTACAGCATTTTCGCCTCCATCGAAAATGCAGCCGCCGCAGCAGAGATTCGATCCCGCGACCTGTGGGCATAGGTCGGCAAAACTTGTGGAGCTCACTCAGACTCCCTCATGAAATATATTTTGCACTTAGGACTCACTCGGACTCAGACTCACGAAAATTTTCCCGAGCTGGACTCACTCGGACTCAAACTCACGAAAATTTTCTTCAAGCAGACTCACTCGAACAAACTCACAAAAACATTACTCACCCAGACTCACTCAGACTCAGACTCACAGATTGATCTGAGTGAGTTCGAGTGAGTCGATTCATAGGTCCATCATCTTAGAATTAGCTTAGACCGTAGTATTAATGCTCTTTAACACCAATATCTCACGTAATCGGTGCTCCTTTTGTTGCTGCCGTTTGACATACTATAGCATCTTCGAAAGCGAGTTCTGAGCGCCTCCAAACCAGCAAGGTAATTGTTCTTGGAAGAGATGGCAGTATAAGACATAATAATCAAGAACTTCCCTGGAACAGTTAGCGAGAAGAGGTCAAGACACCACTTACATATTTCACGCCTCCAATTATATTGAAAGGGTGTATGAACGAAACTGCCTTGGAATAGATGTGAGAAGACGCGAGTATAAGCTTAAATCCAAGTAAGGCTGATAGTAATGCTGAACATGACTAGAAAAGACCTTAGGTAGGCAAAAGAAAGTGGAACTCGCTTATACCCACTCAAGAAATATATTTTGCGCTTTCGACTCATTTAGAATCACACTCGCCAAAATTTTCCTGAGCCAAAATCACTCGGACTCACACTCACGAAAATTTTCTTCAACCAGACTCACTCGAACTGAGCCTCGCGAAAATATTACTTACCCAGACTCATTCAGACTAAGAATCACGACTCAATCTGAGTCTGAGTGAGTCCGAGTGAGTTTGCCGACCTATGCCTGCGGGTCAGCTGCTAAGCACCTTAGCCACTAGACCACCACGATGGGGGGAACATGATAAACAAACCTGTAGAAGCAATAGGCCAACGATGAAGGCACTCCCTTGGCAGTAGCCTACTTCTCGATCATGCAGTGAGTAAGCCTTCATGACGTTGAAAAGGCCCTCTTGTCCAGGACCATCTTTGTCACGAAAAAACTCGTGCTCAGGATAGGTGCGTGCAATGTCGCGGCGGATCACCTTCTCACAGGGTGAGCTTGCCTTTAGGTACTCTGCGTACTGCTCACGGGCTGCACATGTAGGTGCATTGCACAACAGCTGCCATGCAATGGCTCGGAAATGTTGTGGGATACCCTTGCGAACGTGTTCCTGCGCACATCAAATTGGAAGTGGGGGGGTGGGGCAAAAGGCATGTACAGTTCATGCAGATAAAAGACATGCAAAGACAAAAAACAAGAATGAAAGGAGAATGCAAAGGTAAGTAGCTTCTTTCTTAACAGCTTTATCATAAGAATTACACCATGAAGAGTTGACTACCCATCATAATTTGTTTTATGTGTACAGAAAAACAAAGGCTTTTCCCCATAATTTACAATATACAATATGTTGTGCAAGCTGATTTAATTTTTTTTTTCCGGGCCCACGACAAATAACAAAGATATGTTCAGTCCAGGGTGGTTTCAGTCAACACTAGCTGGTGATACAAGTTACTAATATTTACAGCACACTCTCCATTCAACGTGCGAGGAGATGAAAGTAAAAAAAAGTAATCTTCTGAATGTTTCTTTTTCATTTTTCAATAGTAGCAAATAGATACATACACATACCATTTTCTCATCGCAAAAAAAAAAAAAGGAAACCTACTCAACCTGATAACAAGTACAAGTAAAAAAAACTTAGGTGAATCCCCCAGTTTTCAAACAGCCAAATATGATGAGTCGTTTCGCAACAAAGTGGTTAATTTAATTTATTGATATGTGGGGCTTAACCTCCCAAAACCACTTTATGATTATGAGAGACGCTGTAGTAGAGGACTCTGGAAATTTCGACCACCTGTGGTTCTTTAACGTGCACCCAAATCTGAACACACGGGCCTACAGCATTTTCACATGCATTGAAATCGCAGCCGCCGCAGCCGGGATTCGATCTCACAACCTGCGAGTGAGCAGTTGAGTACCTTCGCCACTAGACCACCGCGACGGGGCTTTCAACAGTGTGGTGGAATAATTGCTAACAGCACCATACTTTGCAGTAGCCACTGCCTTGATAATAATTCTGGTTTCATCATTAATGTGCCTTGCTTCCATCTCACCCTTAACTTTATACTTTTTTGGATTGACTGTGGTATTTTATGAACGGAAATGCTTGCACAGTCGAAACCAACGTTACTAGAATAGCTTCAGTTGTAAAACTCTCCGCCGGCGCCACTGCTGCCGGTGTCTGCACTCCTCTGCCCGCCGCCAGATGGCGGCACCGCTCCATCTTGCTCCGCAGCAGACGCTCCGCCGCAGCCGGCAGCGACCTAAATCTCTCGCGGACGGAGTGTTTGTGGCTGTTTCACGTGTATTTTCACGTCTTCTGGCGTTCTGCGTTAAAGAATTTGTGATACCAGGCGAAACCCGTATTTACCCACAGCGGCTTGGTATATTTCCTCGCGTATTTCACTTCAAAACTGGGTCTCCGCCGCTGTTTCAGGAATGTAGCAGTTAGATACACGAGTACTTTTAAAGGCAATTCGATGATGCCCGCATAAAGTTTGTGAAAGTGCAAGAGGCGCCCGAAAAGTGTTTACACTCTGGCCAATTCACACTTCATTCTTTACAGGCTGGCATCGCGTGCCTGTGAAAGATGTGCGGCCGTTCGCCTGTTTCCGCCACTATCAAATGGTGGCTAATTCACTCCTGAGAAGTAATGGGAAAACATCTCCGTCCCGATTTTTAAAGCGGAGATTATATGGCTACGGTTCCATGTACTTTACTGTCCGGGGACGAGGGCTCCCACTGTCTCTAAAGCGCGTGATGCGTTGGAAAAAGAACGTCCGATGTGTTTGCTAATAACACGCGGTCACCACCAAAGCCGCACGCTGTTAAAAGCGTGATTTAGAACCCGAGCGTATACGGCTAATCAACAGGATATGCACCACCGTCAATATTACAATGCGACATGGATTTTAAACCTTCTGACCCTTGGATGTGTACTTTGAGGTGATTACAGTTAGTAACCACTATTTTCAAAGTTGTTGAAATAAAAGTGTGTGCGCGTGTGCACACGCATTTCTATATTAGAACATATCGCCATCCACGATCACGACGAAATATTGTTCTTACCTTTCTCCTATACTCCGTATCAATCCCATGTCGTGTGTTAAAAAGCTTTCGTGGTCATACACCTTTACGTGAATGGAAAGGTTCGCGAGTTTTTTGTTCTCTGTATGTTACAATTCAACATAATGTGATTGGCGTCAGTTGTCAACTAGCTAGTGAAAACACCTTCGATTTAATCTTACTTGGGTCAATTGTCAACTAGCTTTACGATTCAGAAAACGAACAGCCCTACCGTTAAGAATCAACAACTCACGTTTTGAAATGAAATGACGTTATTTCAAAAAAAAAAAAAAAAAAAAAAAAAAACAAGCGCTATTCTATGGGAGATATTCAGGGGAAAAGGTTGTGGGTACGCAACTTGACTGGCCCTAAAATAGATGGCAGGCTGCAGCGGAGCAGGAACACTTACTGCCAAGGGAAAAAATAAATAAAAAAAAAAGAGGAGAGAGAGAGGAAGCAATGCACAACTGACAAATACTACAGGTTACAATCCCAGAATTTCACAAATATATATATATATATATAATGTGGACATAGCTATAACACCTAAGCAAAAACAGACAAACAATGAAATTTCCTTCACACAAGCTATGTACAATATAATTTCTGGCAAAGAAAAGTGCCCCCAGGGTGGAAGCCTACAGCAGCTTTGCCCGCTTTCTCGCTGCCTTTACTTGAGCACTGGAACTTCGATGCTGCTCCAGAAATCTGGAGTAGAAGTGCATGCGTGTTACAAGGTAAAATTTAATAATGCTTGCACTGAGCTCCTGAAAGTCCAAGGGGCACCCAACACGACTAAGCGTATTTTCTGACAACTCTTCTAGAATTCTCCAGAACAGGTCGCCGAAAACCTGGTTTGACTTAGTGTGCCGCTCCATGACGCACTCGATGCCTGACAACATGCACGTTAAAGCTGCAGATGGATGCTTAAGAGCGCCAGGCACAAAAACCCTTAACTCAGTGACCTTCAAAGACCTTAACTCTCCCCTGCCGCCCGTCGACGCGGCTGGCGGCAGGGGAGAGGTGAAGCTCGATGCGACTGCAGCGCCACGAGGCGCAAGGACAAGCGGCGGTTCCGTGCAGCTCCGCCGAGTTTTACAACTGAAGCTATTCTAGTAACATTGGTCAAAACAGCGTAGTGCTAACAAAATGTACATCCATTTCTGTGGTTCTTTGTTTATGCATCTTCGAGAACACAAAATGCAGAAATGCAATAATGCTTTTTTGGCACTGGACTTCTCAAGTTGGACTGTTCCAGTTTTCCTTAAATAATAAAGAAATTACACCTGTACTTTCATATGCTATGCTTAGAAAAAAGATATGTTGAAAGTTTACAAAGTCCACAGTTGTTTTCGCTTCTTGCTTTTGTTCTGTGAGCTTTAATTAAGAGTGACACGAAATAGTACAGTGTAGCTTCATAAGACAAAGACATCCCAGTGATCTAGTTGTACTCAGAGAGAAAAATTAATAGGTTAGACAGACCTTGACATATGCATTCTTCTTCTTGATGTAGGTGTCCCACTCATTTACCATTCTTCCCCATAGGACCCAGGCATCTTCTGAGTCATCATCCAGAGCAGCACTCTGCTGGCTTGCACCTGATGCCACCGACACCTGGCTGGTGTCCGAGGACTTTCTGGAGTGCGTTGAAGTCAGTGAATTCAAGGACTTAGAGTCTGATTCCAAGAGCCTGCACAAAAGCCGATGTGAAATGACACAGCCAGTTACAATGTATGGGGTGTTTTTTAGACAACACTGATTTTTAATAAAAATGCCATGACAATCACACACCTATTGTTTTCACAGACAAACTCTACACTGAGGTGAAAATGCTTTGCTGTTTCTAAAGTAACATTCAGATGATTGAGTGACAAAGATCTTCATAATCAACTTCTGAACTACCAATCTGAGGGCAAAAAAGTAGCAAGATGTCACAATATAGGTTGTTATTATAAATCCTGAAAATCAGACACAATTTTAGATATTATTAATCAACTTAACACCTCGACATTAGAACCAAGTGTGCTGTACACACAAAAAAGGCAGCTGCTGTGTTATATCAGACGATAATTTTCCATGCTAAAGAAGCGACACAATTAGAAAAAGGGTGGATGCCATTCTGCAGTACATTGTTAGAAGCTTGGATTTGCAGCTTGTAGAGCCTGCCACATTTACTAGCTGTAGGTACAAGCTGTCCACAAATTATTCATTTTCACCAAGCTTGGTTAACATATCTGGACACAAATAATAGTATGCTGCTATTAAACAAGCCCTGAAACACTCTTAAAGTAACCATATAATGAATTCACTGGAAGAGCTTGTAGCCTCATGAACTCATTGCCGCAAAAATTTTAAAAATCTGTCCAGTGCGAGTGGACTTGCAAAGATTTGTCGCATGCTGCAATTGCATTCTCTCGTCTCGACGAAAGCACTGTGTTTCAGGCTGCTTTAGAGGGACTGGTTCTCATAGCACAGGTAGTATACACCACTTTGTAGCCATGCTCAAGTGCTGCCATCTTGGACTGATCATGGACTTTTGTATCCGTATCAAATAAACAAACAGTGCCTACAATGAACTTGCATGCATGAAAACACTTGGGCCAACACATTGAACATTTCATGAGCATGATCATTTCATATTATGACACAAAAAATTGGCAAAACAAGCGATTATCAGCCCAAGAAAATAATATATAGCGCGTAGTCATTTTTTATTAGAGAAACATTCTTAGTTGCACAAACAAGAGTAAACCATAATTGTTAGTTCAACTTTTTAATTGGCACCGACTATGTAACCACAAAAAAATTATGGTGAGGCAGTGATAAAAGAACATAAAATAATGTGCCTCTGCCCGTGCCACCGTGGTATATAGGCTACTATGTAACCACAGTAAAAAGCACCAATTTCTTGAAAAGGCCACACATAAATATTTAATTGCAGCACCTTTAAATCACCTGTTTGAAAAGGAAGTCAAGCCAAGCCCTGCTTCAGACATGGAAGAAGGCAACAGCATTTTACAAAAACAAACAAACAAAAAAACAGAGGGAATAGTTATACGCTGATTGTTTATTTGGCTGAAAGCTAAAAATTAGCCCTTCATACTGTGAGCCTCTCACTGAAAACACAAGAGGATCTACTCTACAATTTAGTCCCAATCAAACCAGAAGAGATGTAAAACTTGGAATGCAAAAATCTTGGCAAATTGACTGTCGATAGTATCAATAGTTTTTTTAACTATCGATCTTGTAAAGAAGCTATTGATAATGCAGATAGTGCAAGCAATAGTACTATCAGTAGTATTATTACTGATATTACTATCAGTAGTGCTGCAAATAACAATGCTGTTGCTGGCCCACAATATCGCCAAAAAGCATTTTTCATAGCCTATTATCAGCAATGGTCATCAAAAATAATTTCATCTGTGAAAACACAAGAATATGTCAATAGATAAATTCACATTCAGAAGTAACCACTTACACTTGACACAATTAACCACAAATTCAACTTGATTAGCATGTGTCATCCAAGAATTCTGGTGAAAAAGTGCACACATGGTAACTTTCTTGCCCTTGAGCCTGCTTCTCTTGCTCCACACACTTGTGGGACCAAGTTTATGCTGTAGTAAGCTTGTGCGGTTGATTTTATACTATTGGTGATTTTACCAAACTTATTATTGACAGTGGTATTCTTAGTTTTCTCTTTTCTTAATGTCACAATGTTTTTATATAGTGGCTTAACTATTGATAGTATAGATAGTACCATCTATAGTTCTACATCACTACTTTTGACACACCACCCATAGTATATGGCACCATGGAACCACCACATCACATTTTGACAATAAATTATAAATAGAGCTCTTTTTCATTCCCAAATCTGTACTGACCAAGCACACATTTTGAAATGGTTAGATTAAAATGTTACAATTACAACTTTTGAGGAACTGAGGCTCCATAGTGCAGTTACTATAGGCTGATAACTGTACAACAATGCTATAAAAATGGGACAAATTTTCTGCCCGAATTTCTTGAAAGTACGAATCCCAACACACAAAAGAGTTGCATTAACCTCTATGACATAAAAAAAAGTATGAAAGGTAATGCAAAAATGTCTGCTAAGCTTTGAGGTTCCTACCTGTTCTGCTCTTCGAGGCGTGCAAGAAGCTCCATGTCAGCCTTGCTAACAGGTGTAGAGGCAACTGGGGTGGGTGCATCCACTGGTGTTGCACTGGTCACTGAGGGCTGGCCAGGAGGAGCTTGCGGTGAAAGGCTGGCAGTGCTGTTCCCGTTAGTTGTTGCAGCAGCAAAGTTGAGAGTGGTGGGGTGGTTGTGGTTGGCGTCACCCCCTTGTGGTGAACAGGGCTTCACCTCAGCCTCACTCATAGGCCCCTCAGGGTGGCTCGACCCATCCACACTCAGGATGGGTTCCCTACAATGGGAAAGAATTGAGACGCACATTAGATACAACATACACTTCAGTTTTATTATTATTTTGGGGGGTGACCGAAAAATAATGAGATGCAGCACCCAATGCATTGGAAAATACCCCTTCACAGTGAGCCAATATTAGTGAAGGACATGAAGTTTAAAAACAATATTATGAAACACCAATGAAAATAACTTCAAGAAATTATTGTGTTGAAAAAAACATACCTAAATACTTCATTTACTTAGTCTTCACACCAAGTCAGTTATCACTTTTTAACCATGAAGACTGCCAAAAGAACACACCATTCCCTTCAACACAAATAAAAATTACCCTAGCAAAGACAGAATGGAATGTATATGCAAACTTACGTAATCGCCTGTACTATTAGTATCAAATAATATGCAAACAGTGGAGCATGTGATCCAAGTATTAGAGTGTGCAAGTGTAACTGTGCGCTCCATCCAGTGATGACCACTGACAGGTGTGCAACTCTGGTTGTAGCACTGCGCAATGCCCCTATAATACAATGTTTTTGCTTGCATTCTAGTTCTGATACGGTGATAATAGGGGCCAGTGTGGGGGTGCCAAGTGCTTTTGATTGTATCACATTTTTTTGTTATTTTATTTTTGTTGCCTTCATTTTAAATAGCAGAACTAGAACAGAAGTGAAAATATCGGACTCTAGGGGAATTTCACAGTGCTGCCAGATCAGTCTGCGGACCTGTCTAGGGTGATGACTGGAGGGCGCACACTACACCTTCTATAATGCTTACAGCATACACTCCACTATTCACGTTTTATTTAACACCGATGGTAATTGCAGGCTAGGGAAAGAATATACACAGGTATATACAAACATTGATGTTCAGCCTTTGCCAAAAGCACATTATTTACTACATATGCCTTAACGATATATATAACTTGATTGTGTGGTACTGCTCCCATGGTTCTCCCAAAACTTCCAAGGGACATATGATAGCCCCCTAATACTAGGGCACTGGAACTTATGACATAACAAGGGAACTGCCATAAACAGTTTGTAGTCAGCATCATTTCGCAAACAATGTACATTCAGTTTAACAAGGTTGGCACCCAACTACAATCACTATTAATTCTTAGGCTGCTGCGTGCATGCGCAAAGGTGAACACCAATTTCATTTAAGGAAACAGGGTAAGCCCTATACCACCCATGTATTTTAGCCAGACGTTATGTATATTTTTCACCATAAACCTTAAAAGTTACAGTAATTATTTTACTATCATTGTGATCATAAGCCATTCCTCTTCTTACTGAAGCAGAATTATCCCTAAAACTTTTAATGCCAAGTTTTTGTAATTCTTCTTGAGGTTCCGAATTATCACCTGTTAATTGGTATTAGAAGTCATGTTAAAAAAAAGTACTTTCTCACACAAGAATAATTCTGCTTCAGTATATTCTCTAGAATGTTCACTAAATACTGGCTGAAATCTATGTTTCTAGATACAGTGGTTGCTGAGAAAAAGGTACATAAGTAAAAAAAAAGCATGTTTTGAGATAACTGCATTTAAAGTGGAAAATATGCTTTATTGCAAAAATACCACAAAATAACCACCAATTGAAGGACATTTTTAATAGGCACCAGCCATATACTCATCACCAATATCACTTTTTGTTTTCGAGTTGAGGTGTCTGGCCTGGCGGGCCTCCTTTGTCGCCTGCTTCGCAGCCCTGTCAGTGAAGTATACTTCACTTGACCTGCACAGACAGTATACTGTCGATGCAGATCAAGTGCGCGCAGGCCCTGCACTGTACAGTGACCTGGCGAAATTCCAAATGAGTTCTGCACATTCACACGAGCTATATTGCCATCATCAAAGGTGATTACAGCGTCAAGACTGCATATTTTCAGTGTTAGGTGTCCAAAAAACATGTTGCTTGGAGTGTGCTTTCACACAATATTGTTGAACAACTCGTTGAGGTTTTGAGTTTTCCCATTGAGGTATGTCGCAAGTAATTCGGGATTAGCAAGTTGCTCATAAATTGGCTTAACAGCTTCAAGAACAGATGCTGGAAGGTGTTCTTTGTAATTGTATGGTTCACCACTGAACTGGGATTTGTTGAATTCGCACCAAGTATCAGCGCCCTTCGGGCAAAGGCCGTAGGATGGATTGGTATTCGTTTATGCCATGTGGAAATATGTGACCCAGACATCCTTTCGCATGTCCTCTAAGCTGCCTATATTTCTTCTAATGGCTAAACCATAATACCTTTGGAACCCTGTAAACAATGTGTAAAAAAACGCCCGCAAAGTACTTTTATCTGCAGCTAAACATTGACTCGGCAGGTGTAGCATTTGTTGCCAGACCAAATATCATTCCCACTAAACTTGTAAAAAAATTTGTGCCCTTCATTTCGGCACATTTTTAACTGCCCGCGTGTGCAAAATGTACTGCGAAATTGATTCAGTGCGTTGGTGGCATTAGTGCTTGTGCTTAGCTTCTTGAGGGAGAACTGCTGGGTCTTGCCTAGCGTGACACCTGTGTTCAGCTTTACAACACAGACTGCTTAGTCTTGTCTACCTCACAAACTCCCTGAACAGAAGTGATTCAAGATATGCATAGTATGATATTCGTTCATCTTGTTTGTGCTACTGTTATGGCTGTTTTGTTAAAGGGTAGTGCCACCAAATTTCGAGGCTATCCTAAGCTTGTTGTGGAGTTCCTCTGTATACAAGGACTCTCCACACGAAGGGTTGGACCCTACAAACAGGTACAATATATTTTAATTCACTTCTAAAAGTATAGCTGAATACTCACTCTTGTGATCTAGTCCCATCGCTTGTGCAGCAGCACTGACATTTCACAATAGGAGAAGCAACGGAAGTAGTCATGACATCACACCAGGTCTGTAGTGACATAAGTGACCTCCCCCATCTCCGAAACGAGCGTACTCAACGTACCAGCAAAGCATTAGTTGCTGTATTACTCGCAGAGTTTTGATCGCTTTTCGGCTAAGTGGTACGCATCAAAACCTGCGAAGGCGTTGCGTTTTGTTGACGCTTGTGTGGTACCTGTGTGTGAGAGCAGACGAAATTCAGCACGATGCGCGTCACAGCCTTGAGTGATCACGTGGCCAAGCCACCTATGTATCGACGTCACTGCCCAACTCGGCGCCGCGAAACCGAAACCGAAAATGGTCCACATAAGTAGAGCAATATTGAATTATTTAGCGGGAATACACGAATCTTGGTGCGTGCATCATGCTTCTTGGAGCTGAACGAAACGCTTACAGCAAAGAACACACATGCCACAAATTTGGTGGCACCACACCTTTAATGTATTCAGAGTAGTGTGATGTCTGTGTGTGCACTAGGCTGCTTTTCGTGACGCAGAAACACACGATGTGCACTGACACCGTAGAAAGCTTCAACAACACCCGGTCAACCTGGGAGCCTCTAGACATCAGCGGTGAGTAGAACCTTGATGATGAAGGGCTGATAGCATGCATAACGCTAATACTCTATCAAGGGCTTCATCTCACTGCCGTCGAGTAATAGGTACTAAAGACAACTTGTACATGCAGATTCACTCATGTTATCTTGCATTTCACATCATACCTGTACATGCAGTTAATTTACTTTTCCGCTAATCTCCTATTGTACATGTGAGATACATACCAGTATACCAAGTATGAGAATATGTGTGCCAAATTATGATGTCATTTATGCATCGTTACTATGTCACATGTGCCAGTCATTGTCAAAAGTGAACACAATGGTTTGAAACTAAGCATTCTACTTCTGTATCAAAGAAGGAGTCAATAGTGGCTGACAAGTCAGCTCAGTATTGCGGTACCCCTGAGATCAACCTACATTTTACCATGACCAGGATGGACCATAGATCATGTACAAAATTTCAATCAACATATTACTAACAGCTTTTCTATACAATTTATTCGGGAGTTTTATCTATTGAAACAGGCATACGTGCCACAGGAGGAACTCTAAATTCATTTTCATCGAATGAGGTTCTTGAATCTGCACTCATTTTTGCATTCTGCTTCATTGGAAAGCACAGCTGCAGCAAGTGGGGTTTCCATGACCTTGTGATTACTGTAGTGTAACACCGTGATGCCATAACCACTAAGCCATCACGTTGGATGCACCAACATTTATACAGGGAGAAAATTTGCTCCGATTGAACTCTGCAAAGCAAAACTAACACACACACACTATCGTCCAAGGGTCAATGAAACATAGTTGATGATTGATTGATTTGTAGGGTTTAACGTCCCAAAATCACCATATGATTATGAGAGATGCCGTAGTGGAGGGCTCCGTAAATTTCGACCACCTGTGGTTCTTTAACGTGCACCCAAATCTGAGTACACGGGCCTACAACATTTCCACCTCCATCGGAAATGCAGCCGCCACAGCCGGGATTTGATCCCGCGAAATGAAACATAGTTCAGCCTATTTTTATGTAGCGAGTGCTTGTTTCACTTAACCCTTTGAGCATCAGTGGGAGTGCTGCAGTCAAAATGCCAAGCAATTTTTCTTTTCCTAGTTTTCTAGAGGCAATTTTAGCTGCCATTCATCATGGGAGTTTATAAAATTGTGCAGTAGCTAGACTGGCAAATGCATCGAAACATAATTCTCTGTGTGATCGGCCCGTTGTTTGGTAATCCTCAATAGGTGTACTGGTGCATGGGCATATTTTTTATTATTTTTTTACATCATATAGCTGTAAAAAACAGGTGTATAATAAAGTACACCATCAGCACTTGAACAATTTGACAGAGAAAGAAATCACAAGATGCATAAAAAGTTTTTTTATGTATACAGTGAAGTGACCTTTACAGGAAAAGATCACAGCAGTACGAAGGCTTATTGGAATGCGATGCTGCAGGTGCCGTTCTGCTGCTAGAAATAATGTGTGCTCAACGCTCCTGTGCACAACTTGCAAAGTTCTCTGTGTGCCACTTATTTTGGCAGTCACAATTATCTGGTAATGTGATTGCA